TGTTGAAAAATCAAAATTGAAGTCTAAGAAAGAAGATGGCTAACAACCAAAAGGTTTTAGGAGCTTTTTTTGCAATTGGTGAGTCCAATTCTTCTCAAAAAAAATTTATTTATTAATTATTTGTTAATTAAAGCTTAGATAAAATTTTAGTCAAGATCTATCTTTAAATTAATATTTATTGAGATTTCAAATAGCTATAGTAATTGATTAATATTTAATCAAGGTTTTTTTGGAATTATTTAGGATTTAATTAAGATTGATCTAGGATTTAGAGTTTGATTAGAATTTAGGATTTCATTAAAGTTTTATTAGGATTTGATTTAGGATTTGGTTAAGATTTATTAGGATTTCAATTAGGATTTTAATTAAGATTTAATTAGAATTTAACCTAGGATTTAATTAATATTTATTAGAATTTTAATTAGAAATTAATTAAGAGTTGACCTAAAATTTGATAAGGATTTATTAAGATTTCAATTAGAATTTAATTAGAATTTGATTTAAGGTTTGATTAAGGTTCATTAGGATTTTAATTAGGGCTTCAATTAGGAATTAATTAGGATTTGATCTAGAATTCGATTAAGATCTATTAGGATTTTAATCATTATTAAATTAAAATTTAATTAGGATTTATTTAGGATTTATTTAAAATTTATTTAGGATATTTATTTTAAATATTTATTTAGGATTCTTTATTATTTCTTTTAAAAATTTTATTTATAGTATTTTTTAAAGATTATTATTATTTCTTTAATTTTTATTTTTATGTATCTTTATGAATTTTTAATTATATTATTTTGAAATAAATTTATAACTTCTTTGTATTTCTTTTGTAATTTCTTTTAAATTTATTTTGATTGATTAAAGTTTGATTAGGCTTATTAAAGATTACTTAAATTTTAGCAAAAGTGTATTAAACTTGATAGGATTGTTGTTGCATTTCTACTTACCTTCCACAACTAAGTGTCCCATGCATTTTTAAACAAGAATACATGTAATACAATACTATCAAGGAGAATTGTCTGACCAACATAGGAGGGAATATAGGAAGAAGGGTAGGGTGGAACTGTTTAATCCAACCAAGCTCCAAATACATTCAAAGAAGGTTGAGAAGACTAAATTTTTCCAAAAGACAAAATGTGATAATTTTGGAAGAGCTAACTTTTGAAAGAAGTGGCCAATGGTATAATTTGGATCTATTATTAGAAAAAAGAATGGTATATACAAATAAGTAAAGCTCATAAATGACAAGATCAAATTAAGAATAAAAAAAATATTGATATTATGTTCATCTTTTTATGAAGTCAAAAGATTCTAAAATATTATAGATTTATTAATTAAAGAACTTGATGGAGCAAAAACTAGAGCTAGCAATTATTAAATTTAAAAATCTAAAATTTTGAATAAAAATTATAAAAAAAATCTAAGAATTAAGTATCAAAATATAATAAAAATATTACTATAAGAACATAGAAAGATAGAAAAGAAAAATAGATTATTGATGAATTAGGAATAGATTTCAAATTGGAGAGACCTAGCTCTTTCAATAATATAGGTAGGCACCAAATGTTGGATTTTTCAACTTAGCTAAAGAAAATAAATTAAAAATTTCAACAATAAAAAATTTAATAATCCTAATAAAACTCTAAATGAATCTTAATTAAACCTTAGCAATCATAATCAATTTTTAATCAATTATTAAGTAATTTTAAATAAATTATAAAAAATAGTTATAAAAAATTTATAATTAAATTATAAATAAACCTTCAAAAAATAATTGAAATAAAAATATAAAAGAAATAATAAAAATATATATATATATACTAAAAATAAAAGTCTTAAATAAATACTAAAAAATCTAGAGTAAATTCAAATTAAATCCTAATCTAAATAAACCTTTAAAAATCCTAATGAAATTCTATAGAAATTCTAATTAAATTCTAGAATTAATCCTAAATAAATTCTAAATAAATCTTAATAAAATTTTAAACAAATCCTAACTAAATCCTAACTAAGCAAAGAGTTGATAGGGATGTTCCAACATTTTTGGAGAAAAAAGAGACTTGGTTTGTAATAAGTGCCTTGCATGAAAAAGAAGATAGCAACTACTATATTGCAAATGTAAGTTTACAAAAGATCCATTCAACTTGTTATTAGTACATTATTCTTTATCAAAATATATACAAATGTGTGAAAACTTGTGATCTTTGCCAATGGTAGGAGCAACTACTAAAGTCTATGCAACATTCATTGATATCAATCTCTTTACTAGCTCTATTTGACAAATGAAAGGTAGATTTTATAGGAATTATCACATCAATAATTAAAAGAAGAAAGAAGAGATATATTAACTTAGCCACGGATTATGTGACAAAGTCGGTAGAAGCCAAAGTAACATTGAGAAATGATGGTGTCACCATTGCTAGATTTCTCTATGAGCAAATTATTACAAGGTTTAATCCCCTGCTGAAATTAATGGGCAATAAAAGGGCATATTTACTGAATAAGATAATTAAAGAGCTCACAAAAATATACCTAGTGAAGCATAGAAAAACTATGTTTTATCATTCAAGAGCAAATGGTTTGACCAGACATTTCAATCAAGTGATAGAGAAGATTCTCAATATTACTTCAATTGTCTATAAAACTAATTGAGATATCAAGCTTTTTGCTACCAATTATGCTAATGACTTAGCATATAAGACAATAATGGGGCACAACCATTTTTTCTTAGTATTTGGCTAGCAATTGGTGGTACTAGTAGAGTTCAAATTACAAGCATCCATAATTACTCAATTTGAGAGTTTAGAAGAATAAAAAGATATATTGAAAAGAGTCCATTAAATCACCTTATTGAATTAAGCATGTAAAAGAGCCCTCTATAAGATTGTAGTTATAAATAAAATATTAAAAGAGCTAATATGACAAGAAGTTATTAAAACAAGTCATTATTAAATGATGTTTGGTATTATTCTATGATAGTTGTTACTTGGAGTTTCCAAAGAAGCTCTATACACATTGCCTTAAGACGTATTGTCTTCTTTGGGAATGCACCAAGCACCTAGCTGTGGAAGGTGAAGTTGTATTTTATAAATATTCAAAAAACACTAATAGATTTTATCCATATAAGAAGGATGTATTTCGAATTTTAATTCAAAAGTGCTTAAAGCCAATACAAAGAGCTCAAAAACACTCTTCTTAGAAACCTCAACCATACATAAACTCCAATTATCTTGTTACTTTCATAATTTGGCAATTTTAATTTCTCTTTATAAGCCGTAATTCTAGTCAATGAATTTTGGTGAATTATAACTTTTAATCTAATCATCTACTCGATACAAAATTTTGCACACAAATGCTACTATAAGTCGTATATATGCTCACAAAAATTCAACCCAATCCAACTTATAGATTTTGAAAAAAAGCCCAAAAATCACACTAATGTTACTTGGCAGCTAATTTGAAAGTTGATGCAAATGTTCTAGTAGCAATTTCTCCTTCTCCAATTCTTAACTTCAACTCAAAATCAATATTTAGCTTGATCTTAAAGTCTTCTACCACTACGCCAAATTTCACCTTGATCCAACTTATGGATCTTCAGATATCATAGAAATCCTATTTAACCCCAAACTGCCAACTTCTAATACCTTCTTATATCAAAATCCAAATATCTCCCAATTGCATTGTTAGATGCACATAAAAATTTACACATACTTAACACATCCAATCAACCAAGTATTATCAAATTTTGAACCATAGACGTGACATCAATTGCACAAACTAATCGAGACTGCTAGTCCTAATTATATTGCATAAATTCCAAATCACTGATTCAAACTTTGATTTTGAACAACAATTGCAAAGTCATTCCAAGCCCTCTGAAAACAAGTCTTATACCTCTAGAATCTACTTGAATCTAGCTCCCAAATCTTAATTGCCGAACTTTGAGTGTCTCCTTATTTTACCCTAGGAGATCATTTTAGTGGCTAGAGGTCTGATTTCGACCATGTCTTACAAATGGTCGACCTCCGGGTATCAATCTAAACTATCCTAGGGATTTTTTAGCCCAACCCTATCCTCAACTTAACCCTATCCTCAACCATGCTAATTATTTACCTCTTTTAACTTAGTTTTATCAATTTATGGCCTTTCTAAGGCAATAAAAGAGTTTCTATAGCCTAGAAGGTAAAATTACTAACCAACTTTTAATCTACTAGCTATTAAGATAAGAAAATAAACTAAGAAGCATTTATAAAAGCCATGTTTAAATATCTTTAATTGTTATTGAATCAAGGTGATTAGATATTAATTAGAAAAAAAATTTTGATTATATTTTCACCAAATAGTTGTGTCACAATACGATAATGTTAGATGGGATCTTATAAGATTCAAGCTTTGTTAAATAATGGCTCAACTCAACTCCAAATACTAGATGGAGTTTTGCTGCCAACCTAGATTAAATGTAAGCGCTTGAAGAAATGTTATCACAAAAAAGATGATGACAAGATGGTTCTTTGCAAGGATGCTTCACAATTCAGTTGTGATGTATGTCATACATCTCTAAGGCCAATTGTGGCATAGTTGAACTATGTCCATACAAATTTTTCAATTTTTGCTTTTATATATGTCCATCTAGGCACCTACTACCAAAAATATATGGAATGTAGTAATTCAACCTATCTTTATTATAGTCAATATCTTCAAATATCAACCTCCATACAAATGTTCTCACATAATATACTCTCTTGTATATCCAATACATTTCTTACCAAGAATTTGGCATCCATAGAATGGACGACGGACCAATGAGGGATTTCAAAAATGCAAGGGAACATATCCAAGATGGGGATCCTCGCCTGATAGTTACATGCCACGTGGACCGCATTCTCTCCGCCAATCCAATACCTACGTGCCACGTGGAACGTGTCCGCCTGCTCGCAATGCACCCAAGTCATACCGCGCAGCCCCGCAACTTAATCTTCGCCACGACTACGCAAAATCTCGCAACTCACACGAATTGGTGCAAATTTCTCTACGAATAGCATCCGTCGAAATGGGGATGGGAAATTGGATCCCTCCTCACCGCAGAGCTGCGGGGAATTCGTCGGCACAGATCACTCGCTCGCCGGAGCTTTCTGCGACGGGTTTTGCAAACGCAGGAGACAGCGTCAATGGTGGAGCGGAAGTGGATGGAATGGGTTGCGAGATGTTGGTTGCGAATCCAGTTCGTGCGGTGAATCCTGAATCCACACCATCCCTCGCTTGATATTTTGTGTTGTTCTGCTTGCGGGAAGGCTGAGCTTGCAATTCCACGTCTCGTGTCCCCACGGTTTGGAGCTCCCTGGTCGCGCACTAGCGCTGTGATTGTGTCCCGACTTCCGAGCTGCGAGAGTTTTCCCAGAGTATGAATGATTGCTCGTGGGTTGGACAATTGAGGGAGTGAGTTTGGGGTTGATTGAGGAAGTGATCGAGGATTGAATTCGATTGGATTGGATTGGAATGGCCGCGTGCTGTGTGTCTGTGGCGGTGATGGCCAATTTGAGTAGCAGTGTAGTCGCCGTTCCTCCCGATAAGCAGAGCGTGGCTGTGCGCAAGGACTCCTCCACTGCCCCCGCCGTTCAAAGCAAACTCGTACTCATGCGCCATGGTAGTGAATTTTATATGGATTTTTAATTTTGATTTTTTGAATTTGTGGATTTTGTTTTGTGGGTTTTTATTTTTACTTATTTTTTATTTGATAATCTTTGTATCTTCTTTTTTGTGTAGGAAAAATGCGTATTCGGTGCGTTAGTCTGAAGTTCAGGGTGCCTTATTATTAATAGGTTTTTTGGGAATTGTTTGTGGGGCAGGCGAAAGCATGTGGAATGACTTGAAGCTGTTCACAGGGTACGCAGCCTGTATCTTGAAACTGTAGATTGAGCTCGAATTCGAGGATCGGGACGCAGAACAGTTTGATGATTTCGAGTTTGTGATTTGGTTTCAGGGATGTGGACATTCCGTTGACGGAGAAGGGTGTGGAGGAGGCGCTGGCGGGCGGGAGAGCCGTAAGTGAGATTGACTTCGACATCATTTTCACAAGCCGACTCGTTCGCGCTAAGCAAACCGCTCTCATTGCAATGACGCAGAGCAAGTTCAAGCGAGTGCCAGTATTAGTGAGGGGGGGGTTTTATGGTAAGGGGAAGACGGGCGACGCGAATCGAATTCGGTTACGCGACGCTGCGGCGAAGGCGCTCGAAACGGCGGCCTGCCGAATGGTGCCCGTCTACGCGGACCCTGCGCTTAATGAGCGCTGCTATGGCGATCTCCAGGTACTCCTGAAGCTCTTCTTGTGATATTCTTTGCTGATTTTGCGATGAATCAGCAATCTATGCAGTATATTCTGTACGTAATTGGTATCAGGGGTGGCTGAACTGCTCGATTGTGAGCGAGAAAAGTATTTGTACAAATTGCACTATTCTGTAGCGAAGTGGCTCTCCGCTCCTCCCTTACGCCCTCCCTTCACGTCAGCACAAACTTAGAAGACAAAGAATTACGATGTAGGGGTATGGAACAGTGTGTCTCTCTGTCTCTCAAAGTAACTTGGAGTAATCACAACTCCGAAGCTTGCCACTTCGAGCTGTATTCATGTGGAGGACAACATAAGCACTGTGCCAATACTAACAGCATGCTCTGATAGTTCAGTTGGTTTGTTCTGCTTCGTTTTATTCTGTGTAAAAACCATAAGTTATTTCATGTTGTTTGTCTTGTGCTACACTGCAGGGATTGAACAAAGCGGCTGCTATTGCAGAGTTCGGTGAGGAAACGGTGACGAGGTGGCGACGGAGCTACGATACGCGGCCTCCAAATGGAGAGAGCCTACAAGTAAGACACATTTAGATGCAGTAGTGCAGCTTCTTTGCCGTTAGAATTTAATCGGAACTGTCTTTGCGAGTCTTTATTTCATGAAGAAATTGTTTTTCTTTTTCGGGATAGTTTGAGCTCGAGGGAGTGATACGGAGATTGCCGTATTCGTGGCTGCAGGACACTTATGTAAGGTCTGTGGGATTCTTCAACTCGACCATTGAGCCACGCTTAAAAGAAGGCCACAACGTTTTCCTCGTGGCGCACGGAAATGTCTTGCGGTGCCTCATCTCCCATCTCGGTGGCTACTCTGACCTGGAAATGCTCCGACTACAGGTAATTTCCCCGTGAGATGTCTAATGACGTAAAATTTTGATGACTGATTCAGTCAGCGCAATTGCTTTGTTCCTTTGAACAGCATCCTTCGTTTGTATAGATGCTTTCTCAATGTCATCTCTGCTTGGATTGCAGATCTTGACAGCCTTGCCTTACGCTTACTTATATAACGGCAATGAATTTGCGGAATGCTGCATACTTCCCCCGAGAGATGACTGCAATATTCCTCTGATTAACATGCCTTTGGGTGTTTCATCTGTTTTGAAGAAAGCAGAATTAGATTCATTAATATAAGTGTTCACGAATTTAAGGTGAATACTCATATTGTTTAGCCGATTATTACTATCAATTAACCATTAGTCTGTGAATAATATATTTGACAAATGCAATTGGAATGAAGACAATAGAATATTTATAAAATAATACATCAGTTTGTGAAAAAAACTGGGTGTCAAATGTGACAGTTAAATTGAAGATGACGACAAGTTCACTTTTCCTACATTATTTATGAGCTTTTACATGGTAACAAATGTTACTGTTATGACTAAATATGGAATAGCTCTATGCTAATGAAAAATGTTACCAGATTGTGCAACTACTGTACATCCCTCTTTCATCTTTCTCCCCTTCACTGGTCCTGCTGATTAAAAGCACATGTTAACCAGAATGTTAGCAATGACATTCGTTTCACATGTGTGATGCATGTCAAAATATCTAAAGAATTAGCACTTCTCTTGAATAAAACCGAAATATAGATGAGGTGTCTAATATTATTGCACATTCCAATTATAATATTTGCTACAGTGCATTTCGTTAAGGCTGCTTGGAATTGTTGTACCTGCAATCATACTTGGTTCACAAATCTCGGGAATGAAGCAGTGTACCCAACTTTCTCGCTGATTCTCGTTCTGAATGACATAACAGCGCTTTTCAACTTGCAGGACAACGTTCAGCATTGCGCACCATGCAGTTTGTGGACAAACTGGGTAAATTCCTCAAGATTTTGCTCCTCCATCAGCTCAGGTGTCAATCTTAAGTAGGTGAACGCTGAAAGATGATGGTTCGTATAGTCTTTAGGCTTTGCTTGTACAAGGATCTGATCATAGCCAGACTTTTCGTAGAATGATAGCGCATTCTCGGCAGCCACCTCCACACCCTGCTCCCATGCAGCTCGCAAAACCTAATAGGAAAAAGATTGAGACACAAAATGAATTAAGAAATGAAAGGTAAAAGATGAGTCGATTTATGTTGAATCATTTTCTTGTGCTCTTCGAGTGTACGAGGGCATTCACAAAGTACTAATTGATCTTTGGCTCGGAAAAACATAATTAGAATGGTGAATTGGTGAAAGTATTATAACCTGCGATACGAGACCTTCAGGATCAGCCAAAGCACCAGGGAACTTTACAGTTTCATCGGCGGTGCGCAGCTCAACACAAGTAAAGTTCAAGGTGGCATCATGCGTTGCAAGCATCTTGGCTATGGGGGTGTATCCACATTTTGAAGCTTGATTGTAATATCCAGCGGCTAGTTCAGCGGCATGGCTTGCGCTTTTGTACCACCAATGAATCCCAGAAACCTTTCAAGGGCAGAAGAATAGAAATTGAAATAAAAATTCGTGAAAAATAATCATCGCAGGAAACGGGGAAGGTAAACTGCTTTAGCAGTATATCTCATTGTGGTGAAAAACCTTTCAATTAAGTTAAGTATCAAGGCTAGGTCACGTACCGACTAAATCCTTCAGGAATTACACTAATGAAAGACTTAACTATCCTCGGATTATTATCCAAATGTGCTGGAATTGATGAAAATCATTTCGAGCTGAGTTAGTAGAGAAAGTCACCTTAACAGCAAGTTTTGTGTTGCCCAGCGCATGCCTCGCTACCGTCAGAAGATTGTCGCCATGCTCAATGAGAGCTCTGGAGTACCAATCAAGAAAAAACTCTCCATAGGGGGACTTGCGACCTTCCTCAAAGAAAGCAGAGTTGTGCGGAGTACAGTTGTAATCGCCTGCGTCTGCTGGCCCCACGCCCCATTCTGGGTGTTCTTTCTCATTCGCAGCGTTCTTTAAATTCTTCAGTAGGTATTTGTCCCAGCACTGACAGCGAAAAGGGCCGTTAGAATACTAAGGTCGCAGGTTTCTGTAAATCCATAAACCGAAAAAAACGAAAATTAAACAAGATCTCCTTTGACCGTTTTACCGCATCTGTAAAATGTGCACAATGTTGCTAAACTTACATTCATGGTTGAAAACTTTTTAAGTTACACAAACTGAGTAATAGACATTTAAATAAAAATAAAAATAAAATAAAATAAGCTGTTATTTGCTGAACCTGAAATTCACCCGTTCCTGGATATTTCCAGCCTTGAGTTTCTGGGTAGGACGGATACCGAAGCTCCCCGCAAGGACCCATTCCAACTTCAATTTCGGTGATGGTGCCATCTTCCAGGAACTCTTGCATATCCTTCCTAAAGCTTTCCATAAAATCGTAATACACCTAATTAAGGCACAAAGAAAATATGATAGCTCAGACGTTTATCTTAAAATAATAGATAAAAAAAATAAATGGAAACTCTGAAGAAATCAGGAGCTGAATCTAACACACAAGGTTTGGAATGCATTTCTTTTAAGACTGAAACAAACTAGGTGACCGCCGGAATCTAGAATACACTGGCGACTGTAGGGAAAGTTGGAATTGAGGGGGAGATCTGAGTAAGAGAGGCCACAACCTCAAGGGCAGTCCGGCTGTCCAATACAGCCTCATCGTCTATACCGAATGTCAAAGATTCAGGGTTCCGAACTCCTGCTCTATTAGTGAAGAATATGTCTGGGTTCTCTTTGCCAACTCTTAACACCCAAGCTGGAAGTGGGATGAAGACGTCGTCTCCAACATTACCCCCACATTGATGAAAGGACATTATAGCCTGAGTCCAAAACAACTCTACTGGGTGATTATCCATAAAAGGCTCAAGATCATTCATAAACGACATTAAGATCGACCACTTTGACAAAATAACGAGCAATTCAGATCCAGCTGTGCGCCAATTCGAGCAAGAAAATATGACAAAATCCTTAATAATCTGCAAGAAGGTTGGCTTCAGGAATGGATTACATGCTACCTGTAATTTAAGCTTGCAGTCTCGGACCATACTGAACAAATCGTAGTATGCGGACCAATCATAAACTTGAGGAGTCACCCCCTCGACGATACCCCACCAACAATCTATCATCACGCCGTCTACACTTGCGCGCTTCAACTTGTCGAGATCCTCCTTGAGTTTCTCAGGATCAGCCACCTTGTTCTCATTGCTGATAGTACTCAGCTACACAGCCAATGCACAACATACAGTGATCATCATCAATAAGAGAAATCATGAAAGATCAGTTGTATTTGAAGACAAGCGCAAGCACGGTAGCGGGGCTCCTACCGGCAGCATAACATAAGTGGGAATGTATGGTGTTACAGGGCTTGGGCACTCCGCGTGCTCGGCTTCCCCGATCGACATCTTAACCCACACCAACCTACCCGTAGGCTTTCTACCACGTGATGATTTAAATCACAATGATAGCAAGTCCCTGCAAAATTTGTTCCAAACTATGTGAGAAATAACATAGACAGAACACTTTCCAATCGAGACACAGGTTTGATCACACTGGATAACCACAACATTGTTGCTGCGTCCTCCACAGACGCACTGAAATTACTTGACAAGGCCCATCACATTGTGCCACGAAATACACTCCCAAATCACGCGTTAAAGGAAGCGTCTCAACTTGCGAGAAAGCCTAGAATGCCCGACCAGACACAAACCTTTTGATGCATACGTAGGCGTGCAGGAACAATGCACGTTCTGGAGCAGATTTCAATTGCATTCAGATCAACCTCCAAATGCCTCCCCACAATGCCAAATCTCCGAGCACTCACAACTCAAACTCCTCGCGAGCGACACTGTTTTCTACAACCAACCATCCCACACACTGTCAGTCCATCACAGACACACAAAGATAAAAACACCAAGCAAGATCTTCTAACTTCATCCAAAGTAATGAAAACCCACGCGCAAGCCAGCAACAATCATTCAGGCAGGGCTATTGGCAACAACGCAAACTGATTCACAGCGCTACAAAACGACAAACTCTCCCCACCTAAACTCACGTCACGAGTCTCAACCACGTACGATCCGCGGTATACACAACCCAAAAGACGCCAACGCATGGCTTGATCCCGTAGACTTTCCCTGCTACTCACTCAGCTTCATAACCAGCGCTAAAAACCTGAAGAAACTCGACAATAAACTCTCCACTAATGCATGCATATGACTTTCGAAATGCCGCAAATCACAAACCCGCCGCTTGAGCCGCCTCGTTTCGTCCAAACATCACCACCCACCTCATCACTTCGGGCTATTGCAGCAATCGTTCTCAAAGTGGGTTGTTGCAGATTGCGCAATGATTGATGGCGATCGGTGAGACGAAACAGAAAGCAAAACAAAACAAAAACAAAAAAGCGCAACACGAGAGTTGCGTTCACAAATCCGCGTCTCCAACCTTGCGAGCACGAATGTCTCATTGCTTCACAGATCGCGACGCAAATTTCTATATAAAGCTGTGGGTACAAACCGTGCCGGACTCAATTTGGTCCACGCAGTCGCCGAAATTGGCATGAAGCCCGCGCGCTTCCTTCGCCATCGCTTTGCAACTCCACCTGGAAAAATAAATATGTAAATATTATTATTATTACGAAGGCTTCCCGGGGGTAGAAGAAGCATAAAAACCCAAACTAATTGGACTGGGGACGCTAATAATAGTCTGTTGTGTCAATAATAGTAAAGGAAATGCATTTTGTATGTGGGTAGCGTTGTTTTATAGCTGATGATGGTGTTGAGATGTTGCTAATGTTGGAATGAGTGGGGAATGAGAGAGAATGTGGTGTGGTCATGGAGTCTAATGGAATTTAGGGGGCTCTGGACAAGAGTAATCTAATGACAACTCATAACGTGGGTTTTGCTATGGAATCGTGTGGTCTTTTCAACCGCTCGTGTTGTAGCTTTGCATGTTGCTCCGTAGGAGTCAAATATTCCCTTCACTTTGAGAGTTAGTCTATTTTAAAATATTCACTTTTTAAATACACATTGTCGTCATGAGTATGATTTATCAATTCACTACCTTTTTAACATCTTTAATAAGACCGGTTTCTACATCCATCAACCAACCTTGTTTCCCAAAAGTTACACATGTCCTTTGGTGGATTTTTTATTACTATTTTTAATGTTTCAATAAACACAAGAATTAAAGTGAATCCCATTATTTTTAATTTAATATATTAAAAATGGCTTCATGAGTGGGCGTTAAGAATGAGCAGCCATGAGGGCCATCAATTATGACTCAGTGTGGGGCACACACGCCCTCTTTCAAAAATGCCCCTCTTTTTACTTCTTACCAAATTATTTATTTTCTATTTTTCAAAAACAATCTTTACTATTTATCCACTCAACTGCATCATACGAATAATAAAAATTACATCATTTGGATTCCTGGCAGGCTCGTGTGCATAAGTTAACTGTAATGATATGCGATTTGTGTGTATTTATCAGACATCTGCCACGTTTTTTGTGTGTTGCAAAAGTTTTATCAACAGGTTTGTAGTCAAACCCCATAAATGTTAATTATAAACAAAATTATGTCAAGAGTTTTTTTTTTCTCATTCATCTTCTTCTATTTTCTTCTTCTTCTGTAAGAGATCAAAATTTTGTAGCGTGTGTATTTGTATGTATGTATGTATACATAACTTTTCTATTGCTTTTAGTTTTCATTTACACAATGTTTTCTTCCCCATTTGAAATAAAATAGTTGCATTTATATTGTGCAAGCTTGAAATAATTTCCAAAATATATCTATTTCCATATAATTCTAAACTTTGGTCCTCTCTTGATTTTTCAAGGTTGGGAACCTTGAACTATGTATACATGAACATAGACACATGCATAAGCTTGTGCCATTGATATTTACAAAAAAACAACTTCTATCATCTACAAAATAATAATGAAATCTAATGTATGAAATGTTCTTAATTATGATAAGGAGAAGATGGAACAATAATATCTTATGTATTTGCAAAAAATAAAATACATAAAAAATAAAAACTTCAAAACCAAATAAAATACACATCTATTTTCTATTTTCTTTCAAATTATTTTTAATTTTTAATTTTAACCTATATATATATATATAATCTTTGTTGAAACTTCTTTTTAAAAGCTTTTTTTGTAACTCTATCCAATCATTTTATGTGTCTTCTTCTATTGTTTCTGTTAATGACATAACAATTTTATTATATAAATGTTCAGACAAGCAAAAGTGTGGAAAAATATACGTTTTTATTTATTTTGCTATAATTATGGATCCAAAGAACTATGTATTAAGACTTTGAACATGGTTATGTTATTCCATCTATTCACACTACCTTTTCTAGATCCTAGTACATTTCTTGCTATCAATGTTCTATCCTATTTGCACAAGAAATTAGCAATAAGGCATGGTTTTTTCTTAATCCTTTTTTGAGTTATATCCTAAGAAATCTTATCATATTCAATCAACATTTTCCAATCTAATTTCCTCAGTTTTGTAATATCCCATAATTCTCCCTTTGAATTCTTTTGCATTACATTAAATCCGAACATTTTGCAATACAAGCTTCTAACAAGTGACTGTACAATAAGAAAATATTTGAACTTAATTAGGAGTAGGCTGCAAAAATTGCTTGGTTGTAGGTTACTATTTTCCAAGGGCGCAATTCCTATATCTTAATATATTAATATATTAATATATTTGGATATGTGTCGACATTTATTGCCAAATCCTCATGCCAAATGAGCATAGTCTTGAAGCAAATTGTATAGTCCATGTGCTATGCAAATTAAATCAAAAAGTAGGTTCCCAAGTTTCAATCTACTTTTTATTTATTTATTTGTAATACCAAATCTCATTTTTCATATTGATAAAGAGTTTTTATTTTTATTTTATTTATTACTTACTTTGGTTGCATAGCCTAATACTTCATTCTTTATTTTCCATTTGAACCAAAGTCAATGGTGTCCTATTATAAGTTTTATTATTTTTCATTTATATATTAAATTATTTTGATTAAAAATAATCAAATTCAACTACATACTAACTAATAAGTAGATTAAAACAAACCTCATCAACAATAAAAACACTCTCTTCCCTGTAGTAACAGTAAAATATAAACAAAAGTGCAACTACTTGATATAATTCCAATAACAGTAATCAACATTAAATTAAAATTAAAAACTTCTTAATTGAGTGTTTTGAAGAATACCTGCAACTCTTCACTTTCCTTAATTGGAACCCAATATTGGGTTTAGAATCTCCTTTGTGCACATTATTACAATCTGTATTGTTAAGTACACCCGCTTTTGAATGGAGCATTCAATTGAGACTTTGTAATCAAACTGACAAATTCGGCCAACAAATTATCACAGAGATGAACAGACCAGGACCATGGCAGCCAACATTTAATACACCTTGTCAGTGAATGCATGAAATTATAGTGCAAACTACATATATATATATATATATATAGAAATAAAATACCTGCATAGCTGAAAAGGTGCTCACAAGCGTGTTATACTGCAAATTTCTGCACTCATTTTTATTTCAGAATGTTATCTATTTGTGTTAGAAGTAAAGTTTTCATAGGCCCATATCTTTCAACTCTAATTTACTGCCTGGTGGATATGAAGAATGAGTTGGTGCGTAATAACAAAACATTTATGAGGAAGTACAAGTAAGATATTTTAAAAATATATTTGGTTGCTGCTCTGCCATATGAGATCACATCACTATTCTGAGCAGCATTTGTTGTCCATGATAAACTTGTGGGAGAGTAGTAAAGGACATTTGGGTGGAAGTCTTAATTATATAATATAGTACCGTAGGGCTTAATGTAAATGTTGAAGAAGGTAGTGTAGGAAATGTTTATTTTTATTTCTATTTACAGAAGAACAAAAAATAAATTAATTAAAAAAAATCATCAGAAGGGTTAGTAGGATTGAAGGGATAAATACAGAGATTTTGGAAAATCCTCATGAAATGAGAACATATCAGAGTGAATAAATTTATTTATAATCACATTCTTCTAAGTTTTTATTTTGTTTTCATTTTATTTTATTTTTATATATATTTCTGTAGTACTATAGCATTGGATAGTTTTGATTTGTTGGTTTCTGGTGAGTAACAAATAAAGATCCTGTTATGGATATTTTTGGTGCAATTGCCCTTTTCTCATTTAAAATATTCACAGAGGTCTTACAACCAAACATGTTCAAATGATTTAAAATACATGTAGAGAATTGTTAACACTACATCTCCAGTTGATAAGACTTACATAGGTTACTCAATAAACCACACATTTTTATATTTTATTTTTAGAGATACCAATTGCTCCAACATTTCCAACGAATCAGGACTCGAATCGTCTGATGTGAATAAACCAAGGATAAAAATCAGTCACCTATTCTCAACCGTTCATATAAAGTAAAATGCTGTAAATGATATCTACTATGCCACAATTAGATCCGCAATGAGCCGAGCGCCGCTGTGTGTGATGTTGGGCTTGGGACCGATTCGGCCACCAAGATGCTTGTGAAAGAGAGGCTCGACTCTGGAATACCAATCCAGCTTGTTCTGGAGTCTTTCTAAAAAGTGACCCTGCAAAAGAGAACTTTTGTCAGGCCACACGTTTTGTGCGCCTACTGGCAATGTTTTTCAATCGGCGCGGTGGATCAAGCGCAAAATATCACAAGTTGGAGCGGAAAAACAGGAGGAGAATCACAAGAAGAAATAAAAACGAGTACCTCGTCGTCATAGACAACGTATTGCACGGCCTTGCCCTTTGCTTTCAAAGCCTGGTGCCACATACAAAACGCACCGCTTCTTAGTTGGTGTGAATTCTAGCCAAAGATGGAGGAATACTCCCATTATTGACACGAACCTAAGCCCTTTATTGTTTGGTTCTCCACTGAAATGCAGAAAAGCTTCAGCGAAAGTGACTTGAAAGTCGTTCTGTTCCTACCACACTACGGTTATTGTTCACATCGTTTTTGGGTGGAAAATTTACTGAATGCGGAGAACAGCAAGGGGAGGAAAAGAAAACTCACTTCGAACATGCGTTCACTTTCACCAGTATTTACCACCACATCATTTTTGCCATTCGCCATAATTAAGGGAATTTGTATGTTGTCAACCTACATCAACGTAAGATTTAACACGTTGGTACTATATCATCATCTTTACAAACAACTTCAGCTGGGTTGTTGCATAAAGTCGGAATTTATAATTTCTGAGACTGTTAGACATAACAATCTTAAAACCGAAGCCATCAGGATACCAACAACTCTTACATGGAATAAGGGAGACCGCTTCATGTTCATCTCTTCATCCTTACTCAGATCCACCACTCTGTCATTTAATAACTTCCGTCTTGGTTTCCTACATAACCACAAACTCACTTACAATTTGATGATGGAACTGGCCTTCAGAAAAATAGCTACGAAGTTTTAACCTGTCGATTCTAATTTAGACCTAGAGTGTGCCAAAATCTTACCAGTAAGGTACAAGGTATTTCGTGACTGTGAAGAGCTGCGATGGGCCAACTAATTCGGCAGCACACTTGTAAAGCTCTGCACCACGGCAACCAGTCATCCTTCTCTCAAGCAATCAACAGACTAAACTCGTGACTTGTACAATTACAGTGAACAATGCTGCTCTTTTGTCAATCGACTTCATAACAGTATCAAGCTGTGGTTTAATTTTGAACAAGATACTAAAAAGTACTTTTCAATCCTAACAGCAACCCCACTGCAGTGTGTAAATATGGTTCACCGTTGTTCCAAATCAAAAAGGTGGCATCCAAAATAGTCTACAATTGAATACCTGGAGTGAAAGTAATGCCTGCGAGGGTACTAAAACCTCCGTATGAAATTCCAGTGATGCCTACACGATCCTTGTCCGCATAGCCTTCTCCAATTGCCCACTTCACAGAATCGGTAACGTCATCCTGTTCTCAAACGCATTCACGCTATGAGTTGTATGCTTCAGGTCTTTGTTGCAACTGAAGGGCATAAGTTCCCAAGTAAAATGCTCCTCTAAATCTTCCGTAAACACATACACATGCGGGATTTATGTAGTATGAGGTTACATTTAACTGTTTATTAGGCTTTAAGAAGTCTACATGAAGAGTTAAATTTAAGACCTGCATGGCTGCTGCCCATTGCTTGTCGCCAGCATGCAAAAACTTTTTACCGAATCCGTCCGACCCTCTGTACTCCACCTGCAGGCATGCTACCCTTACACACAAATGTTCAGGAAAACTTTGGATATCACTCAAGATTGAAAAAACTAGAGCAAGCAGCTAAAACTTAAATTTACAAATAAAATATACAACATATACATACACCTAAGCAAAAGTTTTAAATCGTTCACTGGGATCCACTTTCAACAAGAAAGAAAACGCGCACTTTTACTTTGTGGTGGAGTAATCAAAACATACCATAACCACGGGTTGCCCAGAACTGATTTTCTGCGTCCCAACCCCACCAATCGCGGTACCAGGGGCCGCCATGAATCCTTACAACCATAGGAAGATTTTTGGGCTGCAATTTTTAAAGAGAAAATTAAATATTTGTTTACATGTATAAAACGAGCATGTCAGACCAACAGATCAGTCTCTTCAGAGTTGGTAGAACGTCGTAAACAGATCTTCCCAACTTCAACAATGCAAGGAGTAAGACAATTATGATGCTTATGATAAAGGATTGCTGGTGAATTTACCTCAATATCAGCAGGCAAAGTGAGATATACCAAGATATTTAAGCCATCTCTCGATTTAATAACATGAGAATGGACTTTTCCCAGTTTGTACCTAGAGAACACAAAATAACGCACACAATAACACGTTGCTTCAATTACCTTTACTTTCTAGTTTGAAATACACACTGCATACAAAAGCGAAATAACAACGTAGTACTCTTGGAGAGTACCACTTAAATGACAACTCTGTGAGGCATTTCAAAGTCACGTACTCATGTCCACCATGAGGCTAAGGTGGTGAGCTTACTCGTTTAGTTGAGGATGATGCTGAAACAGCAACGACATCTTTCTCGATTCTCGCTCATACAAATAAGTTTCTGAAGACGAGTCATCAGTCTCATAGGTTACTACCCACCTGACCAGCACAGAAAATATCTTGATCAGTGCCTTCTATGATAATCATGAGATGGATGATTGGAATACTACTAGATAATTCCCATCATCTGGTTCTGAAACTGAATATCTGTGGTTGATGGAAGAAACAAGTTTGGAGATGTAATTACTACAATAGAACTCAATAAGCGAAAAAACACAAATAAAAAACAGAAAAAGAGGTGATGTATTTCCTTCAGTAGACTCTTCGGTGTTAGAAATTGACCCTTTCACATCTGTAGGGTACATTCATAACTCAAATTGAAACAAAAATGACTGTTACAGCATGTGAGATATCAGCAATAGCTCAGGCAATTACTTCTGATTTGAGCGGTCCCGGCTGCCTATTGTCATCTGGCCATCTCTGAAGCTTGTTAGTAGATCGAAATCGTCTTGAACGCTACAGAGCAGAAACATAAAACAATCTGAGAAAATCAGCAAAACAGCTAAATGTTAACATTTTCCAGCCTCCTGTACGAATTGGTATAACATTGTAACCACTTTTTTTTTAAAGGAATCGCCGATAGGCACTCATAGGTTGGTTAGAAACATCACCTTGAATGTAGAACCTTCCATTTAAGCTTGGAAAAGATGAAAGCAACAGCTAAATATTCCTTCGTTCGAAAGTCCATGAACAACACCTTTGAGGGGTCAAATTTGAAGGGCATTAAATCGCTTCTAGGATCTGAAGCAATCACTTGAATGAGTGATCCATCGTCTGTGTTGATCTGCAATTACCGTGTGGCAGCTCCATTGTTTAGTTTTGTCAGGTTAGGCAAAAGGTTCCAAAAATCACAAAGGAGCTATTTAATCAGTATGAAGTTTTGCATTATATGGTGGGGGGTTCCAATTATTATCTATCCCAGCTGTCCCCTGTTCACATTTACACTTGTGATTTTTCTGGGTTTACAAAAGCTACCTCTTTATAAACAAAGCAGGATAACGCAAGACAGGATTTACGAGTGACCCATAGGCTTCCACAGGAAGGATTCTAACTGAATGAATGGTGAGGTGATTCTCTGGTACAAACCAAGAGTAAGCGTGTCGTCGGAGAATCAACTGACGACATGATGTACATGTGGTTTGGGCTGGATCCAAATCCAACCTATATAGTCACACCGAATGCAATTTTCAATGTCAGTTTCATTTTGGTTGCATCACACACAGAAAATCACCGAATATCATACACCAAAAGACTAATGTTAAAACTGATGAGTAGTTAAGTCTGCAGCCTAAGAAGCTAAGAAAAATCAAAATCCAATATTACGAAAACGATTGATCTTTTGTTCAGTGTAGTATGACAAACTCAAATTCGAAATCAGGAAGCTAAATTGAGAACTCAGAGGTAGAGACTAAATGACTGAGAATCACCATGCTTCCAGCATCCTGGCTGGTCCAGCGATACACATCGTGCCAGTCGGACTCTTTTGACTCTCTTACTCGAATGGTAGAGCTTCCATCAGACAAATCGAACTCCAAGGCACCTCGAACCACAGAGTTGCCGTCACATAGCCAGTCGGAGATATTTCCAGGGTTCTGAGTGTCAAGCTCTGCGTCGCCTGTCTTGATGTTGACTTTGTACTAGGAAATCAAAAACGGAAAAAAAATTACTTTTCATCATTGGCAAGATTAAGTAAATTACTTAGAAATTTGAACATTTTCGAAGGAGGAGCACGTTAGATGACTTACCACATCAAAATCGGAAGGGTCTCTGATGTTCATGCAAAATAGAATCTCATGTGGGCGAAGTCCACTGATGCTGCTCGGAAGGATCTTTGAGTGGACGCCAATCAATGGCGTCAAAGCTTGTACTGTGCCCGTGGCCAACTCCACTGAGAAATGGACCCAGTCTTCATTTCCTGTACAATTCAGAAACTCGCGATATCAGATAGATAGCTGATTAAACAACTGGAAGTCAGAAGGCTGTCCACTTTTCAACCTGCCATTCTCGTGTTTCTGGGTATTGTTTTGGCAAATGCATGCTCCACAAAAATAACTAGCCGGTATTTAATTACCTCCACAGTCAACTTTGTAGATGATGTATTCCGCACTTGGGTTCCAGATGTACCAATGCACCTACATAGGATTAAAGAATCCCCAGATACAAATGACTTTCTAAGCGTCTAACCTTAAATGAAAAGGGAAGTTAGACGCTTAGAAAGTCATTTGTAGCAAAGAGATTTGTAATGTTAACAGATAAATTGACAAACATTGATGTAAAACGGAAACCAGAATGAGAGCTCTCATTGAAATACACGACTTCCAGTTATACGTCGAGGTTCGCTGCATTACCCCACGGTGAGTCTCTGCAGTTATCATCTTGGCCTCCTCGTCTGTGCCATGAAGCGGGCGTACCCACTTTGAGATAAACGTGCAAAAAACAAAAACCAAGTAAATCAGTAGAAATTATCGGACTCTGTTCCAAAATTCATAACAGAATTCAAAATATAGTATTTGAGTGTACAATAAAATTCAGACTTAATCGTACACTCACCACATTCAGAACATGATCAGGCGAGGGACCCAAATAAGCTAATTGCTGGCCGTCCGGTGAAAGGCGAGCCTGCTCCTTCTGATATGCAAAGAGAATCTCAGGGGGTATGATATTTGACTTCTGCTTATCTCCTGGATCTGTACAGGACAAGTGTACGCAAAGTGCGGATTATACAACCTTTAGCATGTAACACATGAATCAGCTTATGATCCATATTACACAATGCTAATTGTGGTTGCAGTAATACACATTGGTATGAGAGTGTAGAACGTTTATACCTTTCGTGTATCCCTTTGTGAGGTGATCCTCAACCGCCATTGTTCTCACGCCAGACGTAGTCCCAAAGTTTGGGAAACCCAAACTTTACAAGTTTCCACAAATTAATTTCGGTAATTTGTGGAAACTTGTGATCCAGGCCCAGATTTGAACAAGTTGTTGTTAAGGAGCTACAAACGTATCCACGTATTAGCAAGCGTATCCAAGTGATATGCAAAACACCCGAGCTACGGATTTGCAGGCCTGTGACAAATTAAAAAAAAAAAACCAAATTCTCCGGTGAATCAATACCCAGGCGCTTGTCCAATCCAACCATGTACCCACAAGCCAAGGTTTCCCGAACTGAACAAACAAGACGATTAGAAAGCGGCCAAAACCGCCGCGGACTGTCTACATACGGCAAATTAATCGTCACACACACCACCACAATCCGAGACCACATCAATCGTGTGAAAAAATGGAAGGAGAAATCTACAATGGCAGCCAGTGAAACAGCCTATGTGAACTTCGAATTAATAATTCTCGCACTCTTCATCTCACAGAACTCCACAATGAGCACATAGTCTGGTTATGTACCGAAATCCCCAAGTCTGGATTCTGCTCCGGCAGCCCTCGGATGCGAATTGGGCAGCAGCTGGATTGCAAACTTTCACAAGAACCGGCTGAACTTCGAAGCGAGACAATGAAGTGGAACGAGAAGTGCCCGCAAAAGACGAATGTTATATGCGTGTGCACGATTTCAGTGCTTTGACTCGTCTCCACTAATCTGTGCAAACCAAACACTGCAACAACAAAACTCCTTCCGTCATCGGCAAGAGCATCCGCAGCAACAACCCACTGAAACTACCCATGCATCACTCTCTACTCGTGACACGCGCAAAGCTTAACAAGCTTAGCAGCACAAAACCACACTGTAAAGTGGACCTTATCTCGTTTCTCAACCGCACTTGTACAGTAATGGCGTGAAAAACTGTGCATTTTCTCACCCACTTTATGCAGGCCTACTCTGGGAAAAACACAGCTTCAGATTATTAATACAAAGCAACTTGACTGCACAAAAACAGTGTTTTTTTTTTAATCTAAATAATCCAGCTCTGTCGTGTAGTTGCTGTCGTTGTTTTACCTTCCTGATTCATCACGTGGATGTCACTTCCACTCAGCTTCCTCTCTGACCAACTGCATTGAATTCAATAGATTCGTTGCCATGTGGGTGTGATAAGTTCAATCACAATTCTAAGTTCTCATTTTGACTGATCCCCAACAACACTGACTGAGCATCATTGCTGTCTCCCATTCTGCCTGAAGTTACTTATCATTGTATTTGCTGTAGTTTTTCACTATTAATCTTGTCTCACTTGGCTACCATGTGGAAATCGTGGGGAGAAAATATTCTTTCTTTTTAAGTTACAACTTCAGCTTTTAAAGTAAATAGTTTCTCATTTCTTAACAGATTGTAATTGAAAGGTTCAGGAGAAAATATTTGTTTTACAATCTCCTCTTTCTTTGTACTATCTTCTAATGTTAAAGCTATTAAAACACAACTTCTATCCTATCTGGATTGAGAAAGGATAGAATATCCTTTTTCATTCACGATAATATAGATTTCTTGATAAACAATTCCACTCTTTATACTATATTCTAAAGTTAAAGCTTCTAAAGGACAACTTTACTCAATTGAGAAAGGAAGCTTGTAAAATTGTTGAATCGCACTATGTAAAAGTGGACTTTTTGATATAACAATTCTTTTTTGTACTTGATTTGATAGCAAATATATCCGATTCACACTTTGACCTTTTTAATTCATATACCTATCATTGATATATATCAATAGAAATAAATGCCAAGTAAGTGTCATCAATCTTGTGTATAGCTCAATAATAAGTACCCAATTGTTTTATTGCCCTAAATTATTAGAAGTAGAAAATCACGACTAAGAATTTAGAGTTTTAAAAACAAAACACAAAATGATTTTTAGACAATTCGACAAACTAAAGAGTTTGATTTCACATTAGATTAGTTATTAAACAAAGATCCTTTGAAAGAAGAAAGACACAACAACTTTAGATTTGATTTAATTTATTTGTTAATATAATTAGGATAAAATCCAAATAAATTTTGTTCTTATAGTCTTAAATTTGATCACTATAAACAAAATATTGAGGCTTTTTATAATTTAGACAAAGAAGAAATCTTTCACCAAATTACATTAGAATTTTACAGCACATCTAACAAATGGTATGCACAAAAACTAATTCCTACAAACCAACTACATTATATGTAATTAAGATGAAGTGCCATACTTTTGCAAAAAAGAACCCGGACTTTTAAATACTGTAGATGATGATTATGCAACAACTCACAAAATAATACTAAAAAAAGAGTTTTTCTGAGGTCATGTACTAGCTAGGTTTTATCACAACAAAAAAATGTCTAAAAAAATTCCAGATTTAATATGATGAAATTATTGTTTACATGGGGCCAAATATTTGTTTGTATTAATGGCAATATAATACATAGATTCGTAGAATGTGAAGTAAGTCAAAGGTGCCCATTAACTTTCTACTTTTGAATAATACAAGGTTGCTATATACAGTTAAAGTTTTATCAAAATGTCTTGATATATGAAGCCATTTGGATGTTCTGTTCATCCAGTGCAAGATGGATACCTATTCCATTAAGGAAGCATGTACTATTCTTCCCCCTTTAAGAGAGTTATTGCCACTACTAATTCAGTATTTTAGCTATTATTAGACCTGACATTGTAGAAATCAACAAACCATTTAACAACACCAGATCACACATTTCATTTCAGAGTCAGTCCAATAATAGAGCATGATCATGCATTAACTGTTGCAGTGAGAGGGTGAAAGTCTGGTTCACCAAACAAGGCTCTCATTCATTCCCCATGACTTGAATCCAGCCACTTTGCAATTTGCAAATCCCACTCCGATCCGCAATTAGGGCGAACAGGGATTAGGAACACAGTGTTACAGAGTGAGTGAGACACACACCTGTTGCACCCACACAGGGCGACTTCAGCTTTTCCTCTCTAACATTTTGTCTCATAGCTTTGCACCCAACACATTTCCCAACGCAGTTCACCGTGTCCACATTCACATGTGTGTGTGTGTGTAAGTTTCACACAAGCATTGCACTACAATTTGGTGGTCATCACATCAACTGTTTCAAGCATTTCGAGTATTTCTACGGTGTTGATATCAGCAGCTGAGAATGCACCCTCCTGCTCGCTGTTGATCATCAAATATCACCCTACGACAGGTTTAGGGTTTAATGCTTTGCATGAGATTGGCCTGTGTGGTTTTACTCCATCACCCTCTCACTAGTCACACAAGGGAGGAAATGGAACTTGTGCCAGCAAAAGAATATGGAGAATCCCTCTTTTGGCTCACATTACCTTCTCTTTTCATATTCACAAGGATGGAACTATATCAACTCAGGGATACTCAGACTTTAACTCCATGTTACTCTCTCTTACACTGGACGAATGAAGTAAAAAAGGTCAGAGTGTTCTCACCCTTTGTGTGAAGTTGTATTATATTCAAACAAGTTCTCCTCGTGAGAATACTCGACAAACTCTGACATAATTTTGCATTGCAGCCTTCCTCCATGTGATTGAATCTTTCGGTCATACCGAGTTAAGAACTTCTTGCAAGTACATCAAGTCCTGCGAGATTCTGCACACCACAGGACTGGTATCGTTGATCCTAGAAAGCCGATTGGTGAAATCGATGAGAGCAGAAATAAACATGTGAAAAACATATCTTTACATATATATATTGGATGAACTATCCTTCCAAAAAAAGCTTGTAAAACAGGATGAAGCAGAATTACCAGAGAATAGCAAGCAACTTGTTCTGGACCCTGCGGGAACTCCCACGATGGGTGATGCTGTCAAGCACCTTGTGTTCAGAATGACGTACACAAGAGCGTAGGTCCACAAATAAGACCAAGATCAGAAAAACTGACGAGTTTCGAGATCTGAATGAAGCCAGTCATGGAGCATAAGAAGAAATGCAAAAGGAAACCATTGTTCTTAATAGCTTCGCAATAATAGACAAAGACATACTTACACCCGGTGACATGTGTTGTAATCAATTGTGGAGAGGGTCTCTACAAGCAAACCAAAACAGAAGGCCTAAATACTGATCACGGCAACTGCATAAACACACACACACACACACACACATATATATACATATCTGAAATTGGTTTTATGTGCTTCCACCGAACATTACATATTAAACAACCATAACCTGAATTTATTCATCGTATATTGACATCCGACAATTTGAAACCAAGTCAATCAACAATCCCATACACAAGAAGATTTCAATTCCACAGAAGTAATTAACAATGAAGAGATAAACAAGGGACATAAACAAGCCGAATTGTATCTCATATTTTACCTGCGAGAATGCCAACTGGAGTTCACATGAAATCCACACAAAAGTTATCACGAGGAGAGATATTTTCGGAGTAAAAAACCGAAATAAAAAGTAGAATTCACAAAAAGTGTTTAATTATTTTTTCCCCATCCACCGAAGTAACACCGACACAAGTTATTCAATGATCGGAAGGGGAGGAGTGCAATTGAGAGGCCCAGTTTGGATGCCTGACGAACACTTTGCACTTGAGGCCATTATCGCTGCAGAATGATCTCTAGCCTCGTCTGTTCGCGAAAAACTCTCCTCGTCGGTGCCGGAGTCTTGCGGACGAGGACCCGAGCTTCAGCAAGAGCAAGCAAGAGAGAGAGAGAGAGAGAGAGAGAGGGCGCGAGAGTGAGAGATTGAGCTATGGTGGAGTGCTAATCGCGTTGCGGAGCTCGATTGTTTTCGCTCACGGACACCGCCTCGCCGCTCCTCCTCACGTTGCCATGGCAGCCGCGCCCGCACTGCCACACCGTTGCCGCGGCCTCCTTCTTGCTTCTTCCTTTGCCACCGCGTCTTCCTCCTCTGCGCCTCAATCCGGTGCTCGTTTCCCGTTGCGATTTCCTCCTCAACCACTGCACCGATCTGTTTTGAGCGTCGCCTCGTCGTCTTCGAATGCACGGTGAGTGAGCCGGCAGATTCGTGGAGCTTCGATATGTCATTTTTGACTCAGTTGCTTCAATTTTTGGTTTCTCGATTAATTGATAGAAGGATTTTCTGCAATTTGCGCCAATTTTGTTTGAGAGTTTGCTTGTGTGTGGATGATTGCGCAGTCATCTCGCTTTGTGGGATCTGTGAATGTGTTACATGAGAATGGAGCTCGAGTTTGGACTGTTGTTGAATTGCATCCATGCGTCTTTACCTGCTCAAATTGTATTGGAGCTGATAAAGTGAGTTGAGGCATAATGGCGGACAGTCTTGTTTGTTTCATTGCTAAAATTAGGAATTACAGATTAACAGAGAGATCTCGTATTCGTGGACCTCGTGCTTGTGAGTGCGTTTTTTTCATTGTGATTCCGGACTGCTTGATAAGTACTCTAGTTATGGATTTTCTTACAGATTCTTGTAATATAAATTCGATACTCATTGCTTCTAGTACCTTTGTGCGAGTTAGTGTGCCAGGTTTTGAAAATGGCATAAAAGGCATGTTCGACTTGGAAGTTGGGATTTTTGAGGATCCGTCTCCAGCTCCTACAATGCTAGAAGTTGGTTCTAGAAATGATAATTGTGTCGCAGAATCTTCGGGATTGATTCCAGAAGAGTGGAAACCAGTTCAGGAGGGTCTGAGTAGGACAAAGAAGCAGAGGAGACGAGATGCCCTCGACCGCCTCGAAAGAGAAGCTAAAGAAAGGCAGAAGCGAAATCGGATGCTTCTGGATAACCAAGTAGTCGGCAGAAAGGTGCATATGGAAAAGTCCTTTACTCGGGTACTTCCAGAGAATACAACCAACGAGGGCCCTGCTAATGACAACGATTCATTATCTCGAGATTTGTTGTCCAATGAAGCATCTGGTAAGCCTTTGCATTTATGATTAAGTTGCCGCATTTTTTTTTGACACAAAATGGTCTCCTGAGAGATTACTTTCACTTGTTTTTTATTTTATTTTATTTTATTTTATTTCAGACAATTTATTTCTTACCTATTGATCTCGACGCGTTACTGCCTCCTTACTTCTCAACAACAACGACAATGGTCGACAAGTTATTTATTGCATTAATTACTGTGGAGTTCCAAGCGTCGTTCTATAAGGCAGAGTATATCGTATGAATCCTTTGAATGGAGTCTTTTGTTCAATGTAGTTTTCAATGGCTCAAAACGTGTTTTGAGATTTATCTGATCACTTCCTTCGAGATAGGGGTCCCGTTTCTGACATGTCGAGACAAGTTTTATCATTTGCTGTGTTGCATTTGAATTATTCGTTACGTTTAAATGAACATTTCTATTGACATCCTACCAGCGTGAGGATCGAGGCTATTTGATTAATGCCAGTCCAATGACGTTCCCGAAACTGAGGTTGCAGGAGTTGATCATGGAATTTTATTGAAAGTATTCAGTTTTTTGGAAAGCCAAGTACTGCTGTAGACTACATTGACATGGTGGGAACACCTATTGGGACGCAGAAGTTTCTACGCTTGTCAATCAATCAACATCCAAAAACCCTCGCTCGGTTCTGGGTAACGCACCTGCTGAGGCTATGGCTCAGACCTCGTCAAGTTCGAGACTTGAGCAACAATCACCAGTAGGAATATCTACTAAAACAGTTAATGCTAAAATCATGGTAAGGTTTCAGGTGACAGATACTCTGCTTTGTATATGTGCCACTTTTAAGGGCTTTGGTAAGGAATTCACTTATGTAGCGGTCAAGTATCGGTGTGTAAGGAAAAAGTTTTGTATCTATCCTCAATTGTTGATGCAGGGGCTGCCTGGTTCATTAATTCTCCATTTAGAGTAACTCTGCTACAAAAAATTTAACTTGATACATTTCCTGTCGAAAGTACTTCATGAAGCTCTAGCTGCTATCCTACAAGAAATCCTTGGACTCATTCAGTGCGATTTATTCCAAATAATGAAAAATTGTTGTTTCTTTTCTTGTACCGGAACATGCAAAGAATTGATGCAAAGTTGATCTTTATGCTTTGCAGAGCAAATGGAATCCAATGCACACATTGGCTGCATCAGGCCAAAAGAACAGATTGGACTTGCTTTTGAGACGTGGAGGTGAAATTAACGCACAAGATGTGGTATGAATTCAACTGACTACTACATGATTATCCGTCCGTTAACTGTCTGATCTTGTAAACATAAACCAGTTAAGTAGATACACAAGAGTGTATCATGAAATTGTGTGTGAGCTCCTGCGTGGTCTATTATGTACCAGGACGGATTTACGGCAATGCATTGGGCTGTGCTTCGCGGTGGTGCACGAGATACCATCATTCGGTATTTACTAAACTCTGATGCCCACCTTACGGCTAAAGAGAAGGTTAGTAACTTTGTAAATTAAATTCCACAGGTAGCTTTTCAGAAATCCTTGCGAAAAACACATCATTTGTGAACATCCAGTTTTGGTTGGTTGGTTTATGAAAACATTATGTGAAATGTTCAGAAGTATACATGCGTTCTTTGAAACTTGTTGCTTTATTCTTATCAATTGTTACTCTCACCTGTCCGAATGGTTACGAGATTATTCGAATGTGTGACTTGTCTCGAATCTGATCAGGGTCCAGCATATGCAGGACGGGGCTACTGTTTTGCATTATGCTGCACGTAATGCTAACTCCTTTGCAATCAAGTCCCTGCTTCGGAGCAATGCCGACATCAATGCATGTGACAATGTGGGTCGTCTGTACCATAATCCTTCTTATTCACTCCATTTTTACAGTAGATGTAAGATTATATCAGTAACCTTAGTGCAGGTAGAAAAATCTCATCTTAGACTCTTAGATGTGCATGCGGAGGGTATCATGTCTACATGCATGTGGTAGGTTTGACTCTCTGTAAAAATTATGAGATTGCTTGCGGCTCATAGTTGAAATTACTTTATTTTTTCTTTATTTTTATTTTGTGGATTTGCAGGAAGGGTGGACTCCGCTTCATATAGCAGCACAGAGCGGGCGTACGGACATAGTTCATCTTCTTTTTGCAATGGGTGCCGACACTGACGTTTACAATAAGGCAATACATGTTGACAACACCTTATCGTGCTTAGTTCCGAATCTTTGCCTCACTGACTGTTACGAATATGAACCCAAAAATATATATTTATCTATAACTACGTATCAGAAAAAGAGTGACGGATTCGAATACTGGATGAGCAGGATGGAAATACTCCTTTAGATTTGGCGCAGTCCTTTTGCGAAAGCTTTATCACTTTGGCAAAGAAGGTATGTCATTGTGTATTAGTCGGAAGTGATCATAAGTTTAGATACTTTATTTGTGTTGATACACAATGCTTGGTACATTGTATATAGTTTTGGTACATTGAAACTTTCATGTTTGTATAGGGACTAACTCCGGTGTTTGTGTATTTTTATGGGTAAAGGAACCATTCTCTGACAAGGGACTTTGCTTACATGCACTCATTTGAGCCGTTCTGAGATGTTAACATTTTTGAGTCTCAATCATGATTTTGTTTCAGGAAATGGCAAGTCGATTGATTGCAACTAAGGTGTGCGCATTTGATTGCTGCTCTATGCGAATTTGTCAACTATTATACCGTATGTTTGTTAGTCAGCAACGTGTCTATGTATGAGGTTAAGTATCTTTGTAGCTCTTCCTTACTATTATTAGACATTCCTTTGTCATCTTTGACGATAACATTTTATTAGTAACTGGTTTTACATTTTATTACGAGAATGTTTAGGATTTTGGGTTGTCACAATCTAGATTATTGATTGAGGCTTTGCTGTTTGTATCCAGGGGTCGTCTAAACTGACAACAGGAGAGGAATGGGATCAATCCAAAAGTTCCACTGTTGACTTGTCAAAAATCACCTCTGTAAGGGGCCGTTAACCTTCCAGGGCTTTTTTGTACAATGATTTGAAGGATTACAAAATTGTGGATGATGTCAAATAAGCTTATAACGTGTTTTAAAGGTTCTTTTTCTTCGTTAGTTATTTGTGTGATTTTACTTGCATGGAATAGTAGACGTCCAACTTTTTATGTATTAAATAGAACAGTAGAGGATTTAACAGAAGACTGAAGAACCAACTTATCCTATTCTTTTAAGATAACTTGAAATCAAGCCTGTTTCTTCAGTACACACTTTCTTACTTACAACAGCTTGACCAAAATATGCAATTTGTTGATTTTAAACCATGGCAGACATCCTTTACAGACGCTCTGAATTGATTGCCGATGAGTTGCATGTACTATAGGATCATGCTCGAACAAATGTTTTAAGACAATTGGTGATGCATTGCAGAAAAAGTGGATTCCTTTACACACGCTTGCTGGATCAGGACAAATCAAACATGTAGTCTTACTGTTGAAGCACAGTATTGACGTCGATACTCGAGACAAGGTAGGTTTACTGGAAAACATACCTGATTCAACTCTCTTGTTGTAAACAAAATCAATTTGAGTTTCTGCAGTCGTCGCTCGACCCAGAAGACTGGAAAACTTAAACTAATTCAGTCTTCTGAAGTTACCATTCACAAGCTTGATTATGATTAAATTTCTAGAATGTAAGAGAAATCATTTGTGCTTTGGGTTGTAATTTTCACATCTCAGCTCAATGAATTCAAATCTTCTTGAAATTCTGCTGCTTAAGTTGTGCTGTTGTGGACCAACGAATCTTTGGAGTTGCCGTTCTCTGGAGCTTTGCGCTCGTTAATTAAAAAGTCGACATTCTCTGGATGCCACCTCTGAATTTCTAGTGAATATTTTTGTCTGGCACGTCATACATTTTTGCAAGGTTCAGAGGATGCTACTAAGGAGGCATTGCCTTTTGCATGTCTCTTAGGACGGATTGACAGCTTTGCACTGGGCTGCCATTTGTGGCCGGGATACAATGGTTCGGTATCTGCTAAAATCTGGTGCAGATGCTACAGCAATCGATAAGGTTAGAACCTCAAATGAATGAATGCTGAAAATAAAATTTCGTAGACATCAGTAATCAACTTTCCTCCTTGTGTCGCTTCTGAGCGTTTCTGGCAATATTTGCTCATAATTTCTGAGCTCTGCCTTTTGCATGCTTTAGAAAATATAACATATCAGGCTCGAAGTCGCATTGTTTATATTTTTAGTAACCAGCGGAGATTCAAAGTGTGTCAATAGAAGGTTTAGAAATGTGGGGTTGGCACTACACGGTCTCTGCTCTTCAGAGTATCCGGGTGAATGATTATCTGTAGTAATATCTCGAAAATTTGTGAATCTGACTGCGAACGTGGTTTTCTGATTTCAGGATGGGGCTAGTGTTTTGCATTATGCAATTCGTTGTGCCAACACTTATGCCATGAAAGCTGTGCTGCGACGACATGCTGACGTCAACGCATGTGACAATGTGAGCTCCTATTCTAGCACTATATGGTGGTATTGAGAACAACCTACAATAAATATGAACTAAATTCTTATTCATTGTATTGCAGTTCGTCATGTGACTGTCTTTTCTAGAATCTACGAAGACCAGTTCTTGTGCATTGGTATGTTTACTTGTTAGAATCAGTCGCAAAGTTCATGAATTCTTTTCTTCCTTTGTGTTGCATGTGATATAAAGAAGTCTGCTACATGTGTTTTGGATTATTTGATGACTTAAGAGCAAGTATCTTGAGCACGGATAACGTGTCACTTAGGAGTGCGTGGGTTATTTCTCAGAAACATAACCCAAAAGGGTTTTGTTGTCACCATTATGGAGGAGCAGGTTAAGCTGACTTGCTCACTTTCTTGAGTCTGCAGGAAGGGTGGACACCTCTTCACATAGCTGTCCAAAGTGGGCGATTAGATATTATCAAGTTTCTTCTTACAAGGGGTGCTGACACTAGGATAAAAAACAAGGTGAATTTATTATCATTGTTACTCATTTTCATTGATAAAATTAGCTTCGCAGCATCGAAGGAAATTTTGAGCTTATTGTTTGATATGTTCTATAACAGGATGGAAACAGCGCTCTTGATGTTGCGCTGTCATTTGGGAAAGGTTTATATTATTACCATATTGTCGAACTGTTGAAGAAAGAAACACAGGTATGACATTTATTTCGCTTACTCAAATTGTGCAGGAAGGTTCCTCACTAGGTGAATAGGATGGTATCTAGGATTAAAGTAAGTGGTTGGAATGTTCTTCCATGGTCATATTTTTCAGATGATGCTTGAATTGAACCGTGGTTAAATTCGATTCTACATCATTTGGTCTTGAATCGCATTGTGATGGGATGAGCATAGAGCATGCTTGAGATGTGCACGTACCGAAACTACGTTGTAATCTCAGTCATGAAGATGGCTTCAATTATCTTGGAACTTTGTAAGAATGCATCATGAATAAGGGTATTTTTTGTTTTTTGATTTTTTTCCTGTAACCACTGAAACTGTTCGTACGGCTATTGTTTATGACTTGTTTCAACCGTGTTGCAGAGATCGAGATGATAAGCAAGAAGTTTTTGCTTGTAAGCGATCTATTTCGTGCACATCAAGATAGTAGATGTGCAAGTTATTTGCATAGGAGTTGTGAAGTATTTATATCATTAGGGACGGATTCATGAGCGGTATCATTTTCTAGTGTGGTCATGAGGTACCTATTGTCTGCTAGGAAATTCGCATGATAATTGTATGCGATGATTACCTTAGCTGAAGCCATAGAAGTGCACCCATATTTTTTCCTAGTTTACAAGGAGTGTTATACATGCGCGTTTCAATCATCAACATGCAGAGTGTATAGTGACGCATTTTCACCTTGTAACGAGGCTTTTGTTCGTTATTATTCAACCACACTACTGTGTTAAACTTACATACCTAGATGGTACAAACTCTTGCAGCAGCTGCGGCAGTTTTCCCTGTTACCTTGCCAGTCAGAGAGCCATGGGGCAGAGGTTGAAGCGGTACTGCGAGACGAGATGAACTCAGCGCATGAACTGAGACGACTTCCTCCATCCCAGTCTCGCTCAATCTTAACTGTTGCAGCTCACGGAAGTCGCATTCCAATGAAGAGTAACATCCGAAGAATGAGCACCAAAGTTTCACAACATCAACCTCTTGAATTTAAAAAAAGCGGTGAACAAATAATCAGGTTCAACCTTCACAATATATCCCAACTTGGCTACTCTTAGCTCTTAACCACAGCAGTTCAACTCATTGTCATGATGCTTGGAGAAATTTTCTGAATCATTACCTATATCAGCGGTATTGAATTAAAATGTTGTAATGTTCTGCTTATAGAACATAAAAGAGAACACATTTCTCCTCACTTGCTGCGATAGCTCACAGGCAGGCTCTAGTAGCTCCATAATGTTTTACTGGGTTCAAAGCAAATGGTCATGCCGACTCCTCTTTGATATCCCTTTCTAGGCTTGCAGGTGTTGGTTACTTTGTTCTGCACGGTGGTCGACAACCAAACAATACCGCTTCAGAACAACATCCATAATGTTTTAAGGCAATGCCACTTTTGCACAGCACATGATTCCTTGTGTGTAAGTTCAGACATAACAGATACTGAAAGTTTTCAAAACCCCTCTCATCTTTTCATCTTTATGAGTAGAAGACATTTTTTTAACCTTCAAAGTTTACATCCATCACTAAAAAATCACTCGACTTATTGTTTTAGAGATGTTATAGCTCTACCCTGATACTTGGAATTTTTGTTGTGTGTTTTATGTTTTGTGTGCTATTTGACGAGAGGCCTGTTATTTTTATGACGTCTTTATCAAAGAATACCATTAATCACAAAGAGTAACTTCTGAACCTCATCAATTTAAATGAGGTATGCTTTGTGCATTGGCTTGTATGAGCCCATTTAAATTGCACAAGGGGACAATGTCATTTTTACAATTTGTACAATAAGTATTATTGTGAGTTAAGATTGAATTCAATATTAACATACTAAAGAAATAATTAAAAACTCTACAAGTTTTACAAATACATCTACTTAATATTAAAGGTCACATAAGCATGATTATATGGTGTAAAGTATCATATTTTAAATGTAATATAAATATTCATTTTTGATAATGATAATAATATATTTTATTTTTGTTTTCTCCATTACATATATTAAGAAATAATATCTTCTATATTGATATTTATATTCATAGATATGACATTGGAATATAAGTCAAACAATCAAGTGGAATATGTACAAATGTATTTAGAGAAAAGTATAAATATTACAATCTAATTGTATATGACATACAAGATCTTGGAACATTTTGTAACAAGTAAGTAAGTGATAGAGTTCTTTATTATTATTAATAAGCATGAAAGTAAAATATAATATAATAAAATATTCAAAAACATAATATTTTATTAATTAAAAACTCAAGCTATAATAACCTTGATTTAGTATTGATTGACAAGAAAACTTTATATAAAAAAATATAAAAAATAAAACCAATATTTAATACCAAATTTAATTCACCTAATTTATTTATTTATTTATTTAAAAAAACTAAATAGATGAAATTTGTATGATAATAATATAAGAAGCTACTACAAAGCTACTTTTACATCTTTTGAATATAATAAAATTATATAAGATTTATCTTTTAGTTCAAGTTGAAAGGCCTAATTTGAAAAATCAAAATCTTATTTTGTTTGTTATTTATAAATTCTAATAATAATTGAAGTAATTTACTTTAAAATACACTAAGAAAGATTTGTGATGAATCATCTTTTCTAATTAGATCTTTAATCACTATTATAATTCTTGTCCTTAACTTCATAAATCTCATTATCTAAAAAAAAAATAATATCTATTATAAAAAAAAATAAAATAAAATGAAAAAAAAAATCTTTTTTGTTTTACATACATAGACATGTAATGATTCAATAAGATTTTTGTTCTTGTAAGAGTCTTAAAGTATAAGCCTTGGTACTACACATACCTAAGTCTAATAAGGTGATTACCATAAAAAGTGATTGAACAAAGACACAACAAACTCAAAGTTAGGACCCTTATTTCCAAAGATTGAATTATAGAAGGATTATTCTTAAATAATCTATAAAGAGGTACGTAAGCATATATATATATATATATATATATAAATCAATTAGCATTAAATTAGAACTTAGTTACAAGAAAAGATAGAAGTGACTTGGAAGCATGAATTCAAAATTATAAAAACGTGTACATTGCAACAGACATGAAAACAAAGGTAGACATTAATCAAAGGCATATTTGTGGATGTACATAAAGTGTAGGCAAATATAGAGCAAAGAATTAGGATTTTTATATGTGGTATTAAAGATGGTAAAACTCAGTATTATAAAGGCTCTTATTATAAATTATAAAGGATTTAAAAAATTATTTAAAAAGATTTTAGATATTAAAAGCATTAACAATCTATTTAGAGGCTTTGGAATAAAACTGGAAAAAACTAATTAAATATTTATAATAGAAGTAAGTAAAATTAGAGCCTTATTTAAAACTTGGATATAAAAAAATTACATGTTTAAAAATATATATGTAAAGAACAATCCAACTATAGTCCAACTTCTATTAGTTCTTCATTAGATTATTATTTTGAACTAATAGGATAATAAATAGAAGTAACATATAAGAATTAGTACTAGATAAGTGCTTATATTATAATATGCAATTCAATGGTTGCACCTTTTAAATCTAATTTTTTAAATCATATAAAAGAATTATAATTTTTAAACTTATAACTTCTAAAAATAAAAATATAATATTAGATTATACTACAGATTTCTAAAATTAAACCATATGTATTCTTTTAGAAATAAAATATCTTCATATATAAAATTATTAATATAAGATAAAAATTAAATATTTTAAAAAATTAAAAATTATTCTAAAATCCTTTTAAGAAAACTATATCTTCATTTTACATCTTTAAATGAAAAAAAGTAGGAATTGAAGGTTCAATGTAGTCAAAGTATAATTTAGATGTATTTATTTAGAATTTATGAAAATATTATTCAAATAAAAAATATGATATAATCTTATGTTTATTAATAGACTCAAGAAGATAATGATTAATTTCTATTTTTTTTAAATATTAAAAATGTAATAAGAATATATATATTTTATAAATAAATAATTTTGTATGGATTATAAAAAAATACAATGAATGATAGGAATATAAAATTAAACACAATATTTTAAAAATATATAATAATAAATTCAAGAACTAAAGTTTTATAATAATTACTTGAAATTTAGAGGAAAATGGCTAAATTTTAAAGATAAACATTATCTTTAATATATACATAGTGCATTATTTAGCAATTGTTATTATCAATCAAATTAAGAAGATTCTAACAATAAAATTTTATTATAATAAAACTCCTATAATACTCTTAAGAATATTATGAAGAAAATGAATTGATTTAAATTAAGATAAGGTCTAAATGTGGATTTAATGACCAAAATTATTTGTGTGACAAAAAAAAAACAAAAAAAAAACAAAAAAAACAAAACAAAAAAAACAAAGAAAAAACAAAACAAACAAAACAAAAAAAAACAAACACAATTTGGTATGACATCCTAAGTCAAGTAGTATGAAGTTACTTAAAATTTCAAAAGAAAAAACTTCAAGTGCAACAAAAAAGCAAGCTTAATAAGTTAATATAAAAATAAAAAACTGCTTAAGAAAATTCTAAGTTAGATCAAAAAAGAAACACAAATCAACAAGGACATTGATAATTTTAAAATGAAGATGGTATACCAACTCAAAAGAGTTATTACTTTTATAAGAACCTCAAAATAAAAGCCTAATGTGTCACAAAACTAAGCATGAAAAAACAAGTAATATAAAAGAATGGTTGGATGGAAGTACAACAAATCCCAAATCTCATCTAAATGTTAGCATGTGGCAAGATTACTTCCAAATTATTCACATATAGACATATGAGAACAATGAGCAAAAGTAATCCAAAGCTAACTTGGAAATTTGTAGCAAGAAAGAATAAGAGTTACTTGAAAATAGGAGCCTAGGATTGTAAAATCTTATACAATACAATAGGTATTGTGACTTAGGTAAATATTAATTAGAAACATGTATGTTAGGACCTAAAGAATAAAGGATCATATTTGTCACAATACATTGCAAAACATTCTTGCTATAGAATATTTTTTAATTTGTCTGCTTGAATAACTACAAAAAAGAGAAAAGAAAAAAGAATAACTTGTACTCAATTAAATGATTATAGAATGAAATCATATTAGAATAGAATAGAATCATTTAATGTTCACATAGAATTTTTGGAGCTAATTTTTGGATTCTTTAAAATTCACTTTCTAGTCAATCATTCTCCTTTATGACCTCCCAATATGATATGCACATAATACATATATATGTAACACAAACCTTAAACACTTTTTCTTTATATTTAATGAAAAAGGATAACAAAATAAGAATAAGAATAAGCCAGTATATTTAAAGCTTTTGCAGAAGAAAAAAACGAACACATACATACATTCCAACAAGGAACTCGAAAAGACAGCCTATAAAATCTCAAACAAAAATAAGTTAAAATAATTTCGTTTTTCTATTATTCTAAGTTGTGACATGGGGTTTTTTTCAAAAAATTATTATTATTATTTTAATTTATTACGTGGGGAGGGTGTAGGACTTTTGTGGAGTGCATGCTGTAAGCCCGCAAGGCTTGCATGACTCGATGTAACAACAGTAAGGACGCGCTCACAGCGGCTTTTCGAATAACGTTGAAAGGATTCGATCCCAAGACCTGTTAGGAGCAAGAAGAAAAGTGAGGTTTCACACTGCACCACCACAAGCACGGGTGTGAACAGAACCCCAAACGCGGGGGACCAGTACCGTCCACCAGGTACTTTCCGACCCACCGGCGGGTTACCGTCCTCGACTCTGTCGGTGGGAAACGAAGAAAAAATTGCCGCTGGGTCTGCTAAAATTAGCCGATTAATGAAGAGTGCCGACATCGATACTCTATTGCACGCATCGATTTCGGTAAAAGGTGTACTTCTGCGACCACTGTTACGCAGTTGCCCACATGGGTTTTTAGATTCAAAGCATGGACGGAAGAGGACGAGGCTGCGAGACACACAAGGCTACCGAGCCTCGCGAGGTGGTTGGTGCCGAATGATTGATAGGAAAAAGTAAAGAATAACAACATATTGAGTGTGTTGATGAGATGATACCATCGTGCGATGGAAAGCTTTGGATTCAGATAGTTCGCTGAGGGTCAAGGAAACGTGGTTCTGTGAAAATCAAACCTACTTTTGTGGAGCGACTTGCCAGGTGCTTGTGAGGAAGTGGTGGACACATCGGCTTCCTTAAAGGTGGGTTTCGCTGGGAGCGGGGGAGTCATTTGTCTCCTGCTCTCTGGATTGTTAGCATTTCGATTTCGGATTGTTGAGTTTTATTTATTTATTTTTTCTTTTTTTTTTTTTTTTTTTTTGGAAACCTCGTGGTTTCGGGGTGAATGGCCGGTTGAATAGCTACAATTTCGGGCGTTGGGTGTGGTGGGCTACGGATTGTGGGTCTTGGAATGAAAAGACGTTGCGGATCTTTCAAGGTTGGGGGTCATTCACCGACGGTAGGTTGCTGCTACTTATCCGGCCGTCGTGGAATTTGCACATTTTTCTGACATACCTGTAGAATCTTAGTCGAGTTGATCAGCTCTCTCGAGGTTTTGGTGTTTCTTCCCTTGAGGCTACCCGAGGAGTAGAGGATTTTGGAAATTTGGCAGCTGCCGGTGGTCGGTGGTTTCTGTATTGTGCGTTTTTGTAAGGTAGTTGTTAGAGTGCTATCTTCTTGATCTAATTTTTCAGAATGTATTAGGGATGATCACTTAGCGAAATCGTTATTCCTAAGCTCCGCACCCGTTGTGAAGAGAATGAGATTTTTTTCATCACATGTCGCCTGTTTTGAGTGGCATTCTCGTCCGAGGACTTTGGGGTTTGGTTTCGACTTCACAGTGGTAGGATTGAGAACATGATTGCTCGGCTCAATTTTCAACCGATTCGCGTTGATTTGGATTCCTGACTCTTTTACCTTTTCTTGTATTCTTCTGTGCAGGTTTTGTATCTTGTGTTCTACGTCTCTCTAGCCTGTATTTGTCAATTTGACATGGAATAAGCTGTGTCGCATTGACTGATAGGAGGTAGAAATTGAGATTACCCACTGCCAGTAGTTGAAAGTTGTGTATTACATTTGTAATCATGCGCACAAAGTAACGGTTGAATATATTGGTGCTCTAGAACTCGAATGTAACGTAAGTCGGGATAGGGTTGCTTAAGGTGCGAGGCCTTGTGCTTGCTCAAGCAATCAATGTTATTCTTAAGTTCAATGGTAGAAAAAACTCAGTTCATCTCAGTTCATTCCGAGTTGTGTAGTCTGAGTTCGAGAAACCCCTTTGAACGTAGAGATCTCGATTTGATCGGTAACATGCTGACTCAATGAGAACATGATTTCTTGGAATAGCAACCGGCTTTTAACCATCGGCTGGTTTCCTCATTTTATGACAACATGCTTAGTGAAGGACACCGTAGCTTGTGATGATTGCGCGTTCTCGTAGATTGTTAGCAGGAGCTGATCGAGCAATGCCAAGAATGATTTTAAGTCTGGTAATAACAAAATTTCAACATGTTCACAGACGTTCAAGTTACATGTTCTGAGGTACGAAGGCCTATATAGTGTTCATCGACTAGAACTGGAAAAACCGAATTATAGTCAATATGAATGGTCGAGTGGAGCATTTGCCGTTACAAGCCTCTGAAAGGGCATCTTTTCACGGTGATCCGGCGTTAGAGAATGCATTGGAGCTAGCCACAGTCAACGCAAATCCTCCACGGATTGGAGCTAGTCTAGCACCTCATGATTCTGGAATTGATCAGGCTCCACACAATAGAAACGACAGGGAGTTTCATACTGTAAATCTGGTGGAAGGGGCTAAAGGAGAAGGATCAGATTTGAAGAATCCGAACTCCAAGTATGGTTCTGTTGATGACGATATTGAACTTGGCCCGAAATCAGAGGGAAGGCACGTTAGTAATGCTTCCAAGGATGACGCAGCTGATGGAGAGATGGTGTGTCGGGTGTGTCACTTGGGGCTTCTCACTGGAAATAGTGAAAGCATTGAGCTTGGTTGTGCCTGCAAGCAAGACCTCGCTCTCTGCCATCGTGATTGCGCAGAAGAATGGTTCAAGATCCGCGGCAACACAGTATGCGAGATTTGTGGTGAAACTGCGAAGAACGTGCACATTCCTGAGCCTGTGGAGAGCACTGCTGCACATCTGGAAGCTGACGGAGCTCGACCAAACTCATACATGGCATTTGTCGGAGTGTCAACTATGTCGAGGCTTAGGTATTACTGGCGGCGTCAGTTGGTGCGAAACGTACTGCTGGCTTCTCTTGTTGTGATTTGCACTGTTCCGTGGCTATTTCGCATCTTGAAGTATAACATTTAGTTTGGGGCACATATTCTGCGACATCTCATTTTGAGTTATTCTTCGTGTCTTTCCATATCGAAATGTCTTTCTGTGGAACACCTGATTTTGATGACACGGCTGTATGTTTCGATTTGGATAGAGACTTATGTATCGCCTGCCATCAGTTTGCTCAGCGTTGACGTGATCATGGTTATCAAATTTTAGCTGCTTTTAGGTTCTAACGTGGCGCATACCTTTAAGACGACGTCAATGAGGGAGCCCTGGGTAGTGTGTCCTGTGACAACACCTCTGGGCAGGGTATATATTCAATGTCCGGAACAACAATGCTCAAGGAAAATTCTGGCTTTGTGTTTTGCCCTACAAACCATCTCCGCTTACTAGTAGTGATCGAGGGCGAAACACAATGCCGGAACAATATGGTGTTACTTGTGCTCTGTGTTTTGCTCCCAATTGCTAGTAGTAATTGCAAGTGCTTTTCTGTGTTGTTTAGGTACTTGTGGGCAAATCAGCTAATCAGAAACTCACTAATCGCATCCGTGATTGTGATCTTCATGGTCCCTTGGTTCTTCCGCATCGCCTATTTTACTGCTTAAGTAAGCCTCAATCATCTAAATCAGTTCTAGAGGTAATTGTCAAATAGTTTTAGTCGGCGTATAGCAGATGTATATTGGTATTGCAAGGGAGGAACCTCCTTGTGTAATTACTTAGCTGGTAAAAGAGGAAAGTGTGTTAGACTTCCTTTTTGAACATCTTGTATTTATATTGAATTTTTCTTCTCTGCCAACTCTACTATTCTTATCTCGTGAACAGATCTTCTATAACATGTGATCTTCAAGTTCTTTTTAAAGTAATTTAACTTGATTTCTGAGGGGTTGAGAGGCACGGTGCATGGATAACCTCGATACATCCCAAGAGTGTAAAATTGTTTAGCTTTAAAGCTTTCACTGTCATCGAAGGCGACGCTGCAAAGATGGATGTTGAAGGGAACCTAAACATTCATATAAATATCACCTGGAAGGACAATGTAACAGGTATAGGGTTATCTTAACACACGAGATTCTGATGACAAGATTTAATTTCATTTCCTTTTACTACATGCATCAATAGCTGACCCTTGTTTACTGCAGAACTCCATATAACTTGTTGAAAGTGAAACTTGTCAGATCAAAGTAGTCCTGCATGTAACCTAATGATCTGAAACCACGTAATAACGTGTGGAATATTTTTTAAAAATAGAAATACCCAATATACAGACCACATCTTCCTCGTGTACTATACCTTACAAGGTCGTGCGTGAAAGCACCGCAAAATTTGTGACGTGTGACCCACTTCGGGAAGCTTGTCGGTGGAGCTGATTGAAACAAGGTCTCGAAACGTCGGGCCACCAAACTCCACGCACCCAGGATGACTCATACTTTCATAACCTGCACAACACCGGGATATGAAAGGGTTTCTTCCTTGATCAATTTAGCAGGTAGCTACCATCTCGCCTTAAACACATTCCGTTGACACGCGGGATAAACGAGGATGTGGGTGGTGACAGACTTCTACAAGTGACTCTCTCTCTCTCTCTCTCTCTCTCGCCCTCCTTGCTTTGTTCAAACAGCTTCCATGCCCTGCTCGATCTTCTTAGGACCATCCACAGCCAGCGCCAACGATCCTGCAATTTCACTGGTACGTACGTGCACCAATCCAAGTTCCTGTTATCTTTAAATGCCCAATTGGTGGGGCCGTTGTTTGGCGGCATCGAAGGCTGACTGTATGCATGTGGTTCTTGACAATGTATTTTTTGGGTCTCCAAAGCGAGAGATCAGTTCTTAGGAAGTTAAGGGGGTTGTTGATTTCATGGAGAGCAGTTGAGTGAGTGGGTGTGTGAAAGGATTCCATAATGGATTCATGAATAATAGTTGAATCAATGGTTTGTGTAGTTGATTGATGTTGAAATGCATGTTGTCACAGTGGAAACTGTGCGTTGCAATGACCAGGAGTTTTGCTTTTTGTACTTTTTGATCGAATGGAAGTTAGATTGTGACCAAGAAATAATAGAAGTGAGATCAATGCGTCTGTTGTGATATGTTAGGGTTATGCCATGCATGTGTTTCGTGCACCATAGTCTACCGACTGAATTAGTGTGCTTCCTCGACCGTTTTAAATTAGGGAAGATGCCCTGAAAGGTTTGTATTTTGTTGTGAGTCCTCAGTTATTCGTGCAATCGACTGTGCAAGATGCCTCGATACCATGATCGCGACAGAAGAGAGAGGCGTTCTGACAGGGGTGGAGGCTATCGGAGTGGTGACCCCTATCTCAGTAGCAATCTGTACAATCGAGGTGGGGGAGGTGATGCCGGACTTATCGATGCAGGCGGTACGCGCTTGTACATTGGCCGGCTCTCCAGCAGAACAAGGAGTCAGGATCTTGAGGACCTTTTCACAAAGTATGGAAGGTATAACCCCTGGAACGTATTCTTTTTTGTTTTTGTTTTTGTTTTGTTTCTTTTTTTGACACACAAACGGGGTTTTTCTCGATGCATTGATGGAGTGGATCATGATACAAGGATTGACAACTCAGCTCCTGATACCAAATAGGCGGAGTAAGTGTCCTAAGTGAGAGATCTACTCACTAAGACTTACACTTTCGTGTACAATCAGGCCACCTTGTGGTATTCTAAAATTCCATTTAATTGCCTGGTCTGTTCTGGTACCTAGAAAACAATTTGCCATCCAAGAATTGTCCCATCTCCTGAGAAAGGTAGCCTCCTGATCAGGGTGCTTTGCCAATTTCTTCCTGAGCCCCTCGAACTTATTCAAATCTGAAGTCGGTTTGAAATGTTGAACTGCGCATTCAGTCAGTTGCGGATAGCAATTGTAGGTTGGTGATATTAGTAGAGAATATTTTGCCCTAGTTCCACTGTCGTTCAGTAGCTATTTGCGTTAAGCAAAAATAGAGCCGCCATTTTTGAGAGGCGAGTTTGGTCAAAAGCATTTGTATTAATTCTTGGTTCAGCGAATGTGATACGTGTTCAAATAAAAGATGTTTCTTTAATTTTCTCGTCTTTTTCGTTGCTTATGAGTGCAATAAATGGCTTCTACGCGGATGCTTGAGCCCGTTATTCGATGAGTTTTCATGTTTCTATTGAGGCTTTACAGGGTAATTGAGGACGCAGTAGAAATGGATGAGTTGAACATGCTTGGAGGAAGTCCTTGATGAAGACTTGAGTTGCGCCGGTCTAATGGATAAAATCTAAATACCCCTTTATTTCCAAAAAAATAATATAATCTTTGTAGAAACACCTCTCCCTCGGACTTTTTGTTCGTTACACATTGCTGCATATCCAATTGTGTGGAATTGAATGTTTTTAATATGAAATTACAATTAACGCGACCAGCATGGACACTTAGACCATCGCGTTACCGAGCAACATCTTCAGCATGTATGCAATTCGCAGCACTCCTAAAAACCAATTTCTGCAATGACTATTACCCAAGATCTTTGATTACTATTCTTGAGCAGCTTTGCGTGAGTGAAGTCTCCGTGAGACCTACTTCAAAACCTGCAAAACACATGAGGAACTCCCTTTAAATCATTGTCAGTTTGCCCATGACTAGTAGATCTATTCAGAAATGTCTGGATCTTTTCAAGCCACCTGCTGGTCCTGAGATGGGGAGGGCTAAGCTGTAATTACTTGCATGATGTTCTTGAAGGTTGGTGGGCTCTCATGTGGCCTGGAGGTCTTTGGTGAGAGGTCTTCGATGCATTGCTGGCCTAAGCTTGCGAGGGTAAAGGGGAGGCAGAAAAGGCGCTTCATAAGCCGTGCATCCTCCTTGTGTGTATGAATGAGGAATACATACATGTGTGTCCATGGAGTGACGAGGGTGAAAAGAAAATGGGATGTGATTCCTCTGAACAAAGTTATCTCGTACAATGCTCTTGACGTGGTGCGCTGCTTTTTGGCGCCCCTTGACGCAGAGTTCGAGACGTGGATATGAAGCATAACTTCGCCTTCGTTGTAAGAGCGCTTCTCCCATTTCCTCTCTAGGAAGTTATACGTAACATTCATAGTCTTATTATCTCTTCACTGCACCACACTGTGATAACTAGATTTTGAGCACTGGTCAGTCAGTGTTGATTCTTTTTTTGCATTTTTTTGCATTTATCTGCCTTCTTCTTCTTCTTCTTCTTCTTAGTCTTCCATTTCATTTCTTTTCCCCCCTTAACGACTTTAGATAAGTTTCATTCAGAAAGATCATACGTTTGTTTTGCTGTGAGATCCAGTGACGTTGATTCGTCACTGGAGAAACAATATGTCTACATTTAGTTTGCAGGATTGGTGGTGATGGATAAATCAGGGATAGAGGTTGTTGATATTGATAATTAGTACATCATCATACATAGTACATATACATTGTTATCATCAAGCTGCAGATATTCTTGCTGCAAGTATATCTTGATGAAACGACCATGAGCTTTCTCATAGTGGCTATTGTCACCATTTTTGGTTGTGTTCATTGCTTTTGAATTTCTCTATTGCACACTGCAGGAGTTTCTGGATGCCCGAGATGCTGATGATGCCAGACACTATACGAATGGGAAGGATTTGGATGGAAGTCGACTGATTGTAGAATTTGCTAGGAGGGTGAGTATCAGGATTGCTTCTGGTCCGTCTTGTTTTCACAACCACGCTTTGTATCTATTTGATTTAAGATGACCTGACCTCCAAAATTGGATAGCATGTAGCCTCTTATTGACTGCGCTTATAAATTTCATTTTTCGTTCAAAGTTGAATAGGATCAATAACATCGCTCCTTTGCTGATTTTTCATTGTAGCGCGTGATGGAACAGGGACCTCGAGGTCTAGGCGGGGCTAGAGAATACCTTGGAAGAGGCCCGCCCCCTGGTACTGGGCGCTGCTACAATTGTGGAAATGAGGGTCATTGGGCTAGAGATTGCAAAGCAGGTGACTGGAGGGACAAATGCTATCGTTGCGGCAAACGTGGCCACATTGAGCGTAACTGCCGAGACAGCGCCTTAGCAAATAGCAGGTTTACATGCTTGTCTTCTTTTATTCGCTTCCCTTTTTTTCCAAGTCTAAAGTTGCAGGATTGTAATTTCATTGATTACTGGCTACATATCTTATGATATTCTTGTTCAGATTACCTTCTCATAATTTACTGAAGGTTTGCTGTTCGTTTCTACATTGAGTACGGTTTCGTCTGTCATCTCAATGCGATTCCTCTACCTATGCAGCCTTTCACGCTCTCGCTCCCGATCTCCTCGGGGGCATGGCAAACCTCACAAATGTTTCTCCCAGAGTCGAAGTCGCAGCTACAGGTTTGTCCTGATTCTTACCTTCGTGCTGTGTTTCTGACATGAATACATGCATAAATAAATCCAGTACTGGATTTATGAGGGGACAAAGAAGCATTATGTTGATTTCTTAAGTTTTTGCATGTGTCATCCCCCAGTCTTAGAACTTGACTTGCAAGTGAAATTCTTTTGGCAGCCGCTCTCCGGCTAGAAAAGACCGCATGAACCCTTCGAAAGATCCCCACAAAGGCTCTCTTCATAGCAAGAGCAGGAAACTCTCACCTCCACCGAAGGAAACTCGGAGCACTTCTGCCAGTCCTGTGGGAGGTGGTGCTTTGAGTGCAAGCCAAAGCCATGTTGCCCAAGGCAGCCTGAGTCCAGAGCCTCCTCAAGTCGACGCAACCCCTCTTCTTGTACAAGAATCGAAGACCCAGAGTCTAAGCCGTAGTCCGGAATTGATGGAAAAACCTGACAATACTTCTAAGGCTAATTCTGAGACTATAAGTCCAGCTATCTCTGAGGGAGATTAATTCGATTCTATTACCATATCCAATGAAGCGGATGCAATGGGGATTGCATATCAACTTTAAATCTAGAGCTACATCTGATCCTGGCTCCAGTCAAGGACCCAGATGATCCAATTCTTGTGCACGTCTAGTGCAGAGTCTGCTTTAAAATGCAATGTCCAGCAATTGCACGGGACAAAAATGGTTTTCTGAATAATCTTATCTCCTCAGAGTAAATAGGAAATAATAATAATAACAATAATAGAACTATGTTACTTAATTTGAGCAATCACGCATCTTTCAAATGATATGCAACGTCCAGGTGTTTAAACAACTCCAAATCAGGTTTAGCTGTGCCCGCAGGTCTTTCACCGAGGTAGTCTTAGAACCTGGTCTAGTTTCTGTAATTCCGAAGCCCTTCCATAATTGAGCAATCTAGCAGTTACGACGCTGCTTGCTTTATAAAAAGGAGCAGTGAATTTGTTTCACATACTGTTCCTCTGAAGCTGCCAACGCATCTACAAGCACACCGACCACATTTCATATACACACGTAAAATCCACACATAATACCCAGAGCTGACCTTGCTCCCGAAATAGCTGCGCTCTACTGGGTAGAGCAAACTTTTTGCTGCCATGAGCCATATCAGACTGCCACCTACGGTGATTATCATAGTGCACCAGGCCTCTTCGGCCCTACTCTACACACACACAAAAGCCAACTCATGAGCAGAAACCACCAGTTGTCGACTGAAACAAACGCACCAGCTTACCCAGTCAACGTCAACTCTGTTCAAAATCACCTAAAAAGCAATCTAATCACAACTTTCTGCTCAAAACTCCTGAAAGTTTAAGGCAATAATTGAGGAGAAAGTAATAAAAAAGAAAAGAAGTCGCATAAAAGATTAATGAGGGATCAGCATTAAACATAAACTAATAAGAAGGGGACCACTTGATTCTCTGGCATTAAACCCATATCGTTTTTTTACCGTCAAGCCAATATAAGCAACCCTATCCCACTCCCCTTGATAACCCCGAAGGCGCAGCGCAGTTCCCCAGGTAGACAAAGTCAACGAGAATGAATGAACATTCGGTGGATGACAGTCGTCGATGAATAGTGAACGAGGTGAAAAGATCACTGCCCCTACACTTGCGCTATAAGTCGGGCAGCTTCGAATACTTTAGAAAGGTCTTTTTGGTATTTACTTTTCCACCTCGGCTGACCCCGACAGCAGAATGAGCCGCCAAGAAATGGCCAAGGGCTGGTTAACCTACTTTCGTTTTGCGGGCAGCCCGATTCCCACATGCGAAGAGGGAGGGGAACGTGAGAGGCAGTTGACTAGAGGGTGCACTGAAGGAAGGGCGCCGTCACGTTCCCCTCTTTGACCCTGTTCCCGTAGTTCGTTTCAAATGGCACGCTTTGGGAACCTTCCTAGTGCTTATCTTAGACAAGGTCATTCTCATTCGGGCCTTATTTGGCGGGCTGGATTGCTTGAGGGCGACCCTATTGTGGGCCCCATGCCACCACCGTCCTGCCAGCTCAGCATTTCACGGATGGCCTGTCCGACTGGCGCTCCAGCGTGGCGGCGCGGCGGAGATTACTCCGTGGACATGGGTCGAGTAATTTCAGTTTTTTACACGCTATATTTGTTTTACACTTACAGTGTTTATCCATCGCAATAGTTAAAGGTAAGGTGTAAAGAGTACATTGGCGTCCAAAATCTTTAATTCGTATTTTTGTAATAAATGCAAATTGCATTTATTACAAAAATTATAATATATATATATATATATATATAGATACATATGATTTTCAAAAACATAATTATTTTTATTTTTATTTTTATAATTTTGGATCAATCTTGGAATTGAATATTGAATTAGCAAATATGCCTTAAATATAGAACTACATTTTGTAGTCAATTTAAATTGTGTAGAAGTTACATAGGATGTAGCAATATCAATTAGGAATATAGTGTTAAGAATTATCTTCATATATATGTTAATCTTTAGATATTGCCTCTATTTCTATTTAGTATGTACATTATTTATCCACAATAGAAAACTTTAGAGTTTTCCATGTTCTTTTTAATTGTTACTATAAGTTGTGTAGATTTATTCTAAAATAGGGTCACAAATGAATACCACTTTAAGGGTTATTATCTACAAATGATTAAGCTCAATCCACTACCCATCTATTATTCAAAGGTAATAAGCCAAATAAAACTATTTTCTTATTAAAGACTACTAATTTTTTGAATAAAATCCAGTATTAATTATAGAGGTTGTTGTGTCTAGTTCAGGTTATTTACTACTTCTAACAAAATATGCTTAATAAATTCAAGCGTCAATATGGAATGTTTGGTTTTTTATAAAATTTAATTAAGTTGAGTATTTCTCCTTCTCTCTTCTTTTTCTTCACTCTCTTTCTTTAGCATCTTCTCTTCTTTATGTTTGTAGCCCTCTATAGTTGAATAAAAATAATAATCTACTTATCATTCTCCTATGTTCCACTTTGGAATTAGTTTAATTTTATGTTATTTAAAAATAAGTATATTAACTAAATCATTATTGTTGATTCATTATTATATTATAATATGCTTCATTTATGTTCATAATAAACTTACAACAATCACATTTAGATGTATATTATGTAATATAATTTTGTGTTAAATGACTCTCTAATTATTGAATCATTTTTGCTCATAAATTTATGAAATATATTATGAAATTTAGTTGCTTTGTGACGAAAAAATTATAATATATTTGAAGATTTAATTTATATCAAAATTATTCAACTATCTTGTTTTATCATTTAATTTTTATAAAAATAAATTTTTGATTTATAATATGAATTATTAAATAGATTTATATTTTATTATTCAAATGAGGTAGTAAAATATCTAGAATATATTGTTGTATTATAATTCAGCTACCATATGAAAATAATGCACATATATATTTAACGTACAATTTACTATACAATGTAGAGAGAGCCACATTATTAGATTTTAATTAATTACAAAATGTGGTTAGATTACTATTTTATAGTATTTAATCTAAAAGAGCTACTATTGATGTTGATTTTTATACTGATAATAGTTTTATATATTTAGAACCAGCTTTATTAGACATTGGTGACTCTTGAAATCTTGTTTGTTTCTTTTATTTGATATTTAAGGCACATATTATGTAAAAATTATTAAAAAAAAGATAAAAAAGGATTTTGGTATTAAAAGAAATAGTAAAGCCATTCATATGGATGAATGGAGATAGATGATAAAAATCTCTATTCCTATTGGCCAAAAATTATGCCTAATGGCCTTCAAAGAGGCTGATCAAGGTCTTGTTAGGAATTAGGATTATTCTGTTGAGGACATTTGAACATTGGAGGCTAGGATCAATAAGTTTAGGATTTTGGATATGGTTTTGGTGAAAATTTTGTACAATTTGGAGTTTTCTTAAAGGAGATGTAGGTGCTCAAAATCAAGGTATTGATTTTTCACCTACTGTCACTCTTTGAAGTATAATGTACACATACAAAAAGAAATGAAGGATTGGCAACTAAGATTGAAGAGAATACTTTCTCTAATACACTTTACATATATTGTTCAATGAATTCTAAGTTAGGATCAAGGGGATATTAGAAGTTGAAGTCAATGCTTGGAATCTAAGGGTAGTAAGTGACTCAATTTGCTAGTGGTTGTATTTTGAGCTATATCTCAAGCAATTTGATAAGATTTGGCTCAAAATCCTTAAAAATGTGTATTATGATGCTATTAAGCTATATAAAAATTTTTGTGGCATTTGAATGCTGGGTTTTTGAGAGGTTAAAAAAATAATACTTATGTACTTATAAATTGGGATTTAGAACACCTATTGGAGTTTTTAAGATGTTAGACGATTAATAGTAAGTTATGGTCTATTTTTTTTTTGGTAGTAAAGTTCAAAGATAAATGCTATATTCTTTAGAAATTTAAGAAAAATTTATTAATTAGATCAAGAAATATGAAATTCTTAAGTTCAAGGAGAAGAAAAAAATTGTAGAAAAAAATATTTTAAAGGAATTTTGCTACAGTTTGAGCAATTTATGCAAAATAAAGGGATTTTTGGAAGCTAAGGCTTTATATATATATACTAAAATTAGATATAAAGCTATGATAAAATTTTGATATAAAGATAAGTTTTGAAAAGAGATTATAGATTTTCTTTGAAATTATTGAAAATCTAACTTATCAACAAATGATTAGTTATGATTTGATATATTAAAGGATGTTAGGAAATTTTTTAATGCTCTAAAAATCTTTATACATAAGTCTTCTTAAATATAAAAGGTTTTATTAATAGAATATCTTTTGAATATAATATTTGGCCTTTATATTAAGAATAAATCACTTATTAGAACTTAGCTAATAAATTAAAGCTAAACTCTCTACAGTTAGATATCTAATGTATTCTCAAATTGTAAATCATGCTATATAATATCATCTCTTCTTTTTATGTTTTCTTAGGCAACAAGGCATAAACCTTCAATAATGTAAAATATAATATCTATTTTACCACTAAATTATAAAATTATTCATCAATACCTAATCAAAGTTGTGTCTTTTTATTTCCAATCTTTGTCCTTAATTAATTTTTTTGGTAATCAAGATATATGGCAATATGATAATGAATGTTGTAAAAATCAAATTTTAATACTTAAAATAATTATTTTAATGCCAAATGACTACTTTTTATGCAAGAGATATTGATTTTTTCAAAAAAGAGATGTTGAGAGGACAAATATGCAACAAAGTAATCTTTTAAAAGTGTCCAAGTTACAAAAATGTAAGCAATAACATTCAATTGATCAACCTCATATTTTATCCTAAATCTTTCTTAACTCTTTTCAAAAGTTTTTTTTGTATGATTCTCTATGACTTGGTTCTATTTTGTGCAAGAAGATTATCTATTTATCATGTAAAAAGTTGCATTTATAGTATGCCAAAATATTCTTGTTGATATACCACACATAGAATAGATTTGTAAATGAAAGAAAAATGAATTGCAATGCAAACATGAATGTAAGTTTGTGATTATTAACAAAGGTCTTTAGCATGATTTCATTAACAAAAAAAAAATTTCTCAAGAGCTCAAATATAATATTTTTTTTTTCTTTAAAAAATAAAAGAAAGAAAAAAACATAAAAAATATTAATATCACATCTAAAACATGCAACAAAAGCATACAAAATATATTTGTCTTATAGGTGTAATCCAATAAGAAGACATAAGAATAGTTGCTAGTTACGCAAATTGAAGATAGAT